CGGGGGTGTACACTCTCATCGGCCGGGAGTGTACACTCCCCTTAGCCGAGAGTGTTTCTCCCGGCCGATGAGAGTGTACACTCTCAGCGGCCGAGAGTGTTTCTCTCGGCCGCTGAGGGTGTGCCATCAGCGGCCGGGAGGAATCCTCCCGGCCGTTGCGGGCTCTTTTTGGTAATCGACACCCAAAACCCAGTGGGTTTTGGGACATCGACCCCCAACTCCTTCGGGGGTTGGCCTTTTTTTTTATTAAAATTAGTGGTTTTTTGACTCCCAAACCTGCTGACGGGTTTGGGGGATCGACTCCCATTCCTCGGGGATTTCGGTGGAAATTCCGGGGGTTTCGGGGTTTGGGAGTCGATCCTCCACTTTTTGGGAGTCGATTAGCTAAGACCCTTAATGTAACAAAACCTGGATAGAGAAAACACCATTTTAATTGTGAGCACCAAGCTATGAACACAGGTGTTTTTTTTTTCTTAGTGTGGTGTATGAAGACACTCAAGATTTTTGGTCCAGGGAACAGAAAAGAGGCTGGTTGATGAAAAAGCCACAAGGAAAAGCAATGGTTGTGGAGCCCTCAAAGGGGGCTAAGGCTGCTAGCTTGTGTGAAGGAAAAGCAAACACACTTCAAGGAGTTGTATCCATTAGAGACTCCAGGGATCAGGCGCAGAAGAACGGATGGTTTCACATTTCTTAATCTTAACTCTGAAGCATGAATATTTTATCTACATACAATCTGGGCTGAGTTGTGGGACAGAAGGTGAAACTGGATATTCATCTGGAACTGGGAGAATGAGAGTGGCAGATGGAAAAAGGAGTGACATGAATGTGACAGGGAGAGAAGAAAGAGAGGAGAGAATGGCACAGGGCTACAGAATTCCAACAGTGTACATCCTTTGGGAAAACCCTTTCAAAAGCCATACCTAAAACCACAAATATGGGTTTCAGTTATTCAATTTCATGTATATGTTGATTCTAGAGATGGCTTCAGGAACCCATTGGTCCCGTGGGTGCTGGGTACAGGTACAGGTGTCAAAATCAAGTGGAATTTGATGCAGTTACCTGACCATAAATTGTAGCTGAAACAGCCTTGTTGTGGCTGTTTGTAATTATTTGTGGGTGACCCAGCGCAGTTTCCAGATCCAGGCATGAGTGTCCAAATTGAGTGGAATTTCAGTTAGGTACCTTCACCTGCCATGGATACCTGGGGACAAAGTTCCATCTCTAGTTTTTTTTCTTCACTCTGAATTTCCTATCTTAACCTCAGAACCGATCTTGAGTGTATATCCCAGGTTATATAGTATTTTGTTATCATTCTGGAGCCTCAAAAGAGCTTACAAGCCTGAAAATACAAAAAGGACCTTTATTAGCTCTTTGGATTGAAAATCAGTTCTTCATGAAGTGAATTTTGAGAAATTTCACCTGGTGGGGAATTCCTGCAAGGGATCTCTTTTGGTTTTGGATGATTTACGCTTCTGGAAACTTCTGGATTTCTGCTGCTTTGAACTTTCCATTTATTGATTTCTGCTACTGGGTTGGGTGACTGATGATTTCATGTGACTACACAGGTCAGGCTAAGTGTGGGACCATATCTGAGGTGACTAGGCATGTGAATATACTATGTGCTACAAATGTGCCAAAATACTATCCACATAATTATATCTGATCAAACAGTTTTACTTAAACAGCCTTGGATTGAGTGGAGCTGATGATTGAGAATTTTTGTATTTTTGATCTTCCAAAAACTACAAGAAGAGTACATATGAGCACCAATATATCTCTCATGTTATAAAAATATTGAGAACTTGCAGCAATATTATAGAATATAATTCATTGCAGTCTGATTCTACTGTCTAACATATCTAAGGGAGATTACATAGTAGTTTTTTCCCCCTCAATGATCATAGGATGACATATTGTGTTTTCAGGAATGGTTGGAGCCTCCAACTTTTTTGTCTTTGATGTTCGTCCAACAATTATGCACTTCACTGCATATAAACTTTGAATTGGGGCTGGCCAAAAAGGAATCAGACCAAATCTGACCTACATGTGACCCGCAGTCAAGCCCCAAAGTTGATGCAATCTTCATGGTCAACATTGGATTGGCCACATGTTACAGACCAAAAAATTAGTCAAAGTTATCAATATTGATGATCTTTCCTGGTATTTGCAGTGAATTAGTTCAAGATGAGGTCATCCAAATAACCGGATCTTGAGCTTGAGCAAGCAAATGATCAAGGTTTTCGAGGTTGGTTGTCAAAAACTGGGAAATCCCAAAACAAATATCTAAATTTTATCACATCTAAATTGATATTTTGAGGAGCGAAAGAATTTTGAAAAGATCAGAGGCTCCAACCATTCATGAAAACACAATACTTCCTCTGCAATTTTCTCCCAAATTTTCAAACAATATCAATACACCACTCACCACTGTGCCCTTCAGCCTTCAAGATTTTCTAGATGCATCAAAAGATCATTGGTTTAGTCCAATCCACTCCCCCCCCCCTCCCTCCAGTACTGCCATTTAGAAATTAGAATGCTTTGCTTGATGACTTTCATCAAATTTTCAGGTTTTGATTGTAATATATACATTCCAAATTGGGGGTTAAAAATGTTCAAAAACTCTCACATTGATGTTGTTTTACGTACACAGTTTGATGATCTACATGAGAACAATTTTCTCAAGAAGACAAGCTTAACTTGAGGTCCCCAATTACATCGCAAAAATTTTCTTACATAAACATTCAGAGAGGGAATCCCCTCACCCACCAGATGGCCAAGATTGGGCCCCCACAACAAGTTCTGACTACATGTGGCTGATGAAGCCCATCCTGCATGTCAAGATTCAGGATGATTGTCGATCATATTACATTTTTTAAATATCAGAGCTTGTTGATGAGAAGCAAAGCAATCCTGGTTGATTCAAACCTTCAGAGGTGCCAATTACGCTCCCATGTTTTGGAACCACGCCATGATCTGAATGAGCAAGCAATGAACGGTGGGTGCAAGAACTGAAAATGTTAAAGCGTTAAAAATGTCCCAGTACCCTGAGGGCGGCATGGGTGCTGGGCGTGGTTCATCCGGATTGGCCCTGACCCACAACCGAGCCAACATTGGTAGGATGTTGCATATATGCATGTAGCTGGTGAGCCCAAACCTGGGGAGGCTGTTCTTGTCGGTCTAGTGTTCGTTGGCCGCTTCGTTTGATACGCTTTTAACACCTCAGGAAACACACACAGACATACTACGACTACGACACCCATCAGATGGCCAAGAAAAGAAGAACGTCCTCCGTCAGCGGCGAACCGTCCACGCACGCCGAATTGCCGACCAACAAACCCAAGAAAATCAAATGGTCTGAGGATCAAGTCAAGACTAAAGATTCGAAGGATGGCAACAAACTCAAGAAGGAGCGCTCACCGGATAAGAAGAAGACCTTGCCTTGGAAGGATCCAAAGAAGAAAGAGCCCGCAGCAGAGCCGGACCAGAGAAAGTTCAAAAAACCCAAAAACCAACCCACCGACCCTCCACGACTCCCAACTTCGACTGCAGACGAGATCGATTTTCCCCGTGGTGGTGGAATCCAGCTAACCGCGTACGAACAGGCGGAGGCAAAGAGAGATGGCGCACAGGAAGCTGAACGACACCTCCATTCACTCGAGCCTTCCCAACCGAAACCTCACTCGAAAAAACGCACCCTATCCGAATCGAAAACCACCGACTCGGGCAAAGCAAAAGGGAAAAAGCGTGCACAGGACGAGGAACCCGGTAGCCATATCGCAGATGCCTATCGAGTCGAACATCTCAACCACAAACGTCTCATCCCCGGGATCAAGCTTGCCGGCATGATCATCCAAGTCCGACCGCTCGAACTTATCGTCGCCCTCCCAAGTCATTTACTCGGCCATGTGCCGATTACCGAAATCTCTCGTCAATATACCCAAAGATTGACCGAAACAGCTGAAGACGACGAAGGATCGGTTGCAAGTAATAGCGATAGTGATCGGACGGAAAACGCGCTCAAGGGCTTAGATGAGATGTTTACCGTGGGCCAATGGATCCGTTGCTCTGTGTTAGCCGCAGTCTACATTCATTATCTAGATGCCAACCTCCCACAGCTTACTAATTATTCCAACATAACTCTATAGGATCAAAACCGCGACCGAAATACCCAAGGGCAGTCTTCGAGCATCTCCGCTGGTCCGTTCTGCGTTGAAGGTCACCCTAACCATCGATCCCGTCCACATCAACTCTGGAATCGATAAATCCGATTTGCAAGGCGGTATGACCCTCACTGGCGCTGTGAAGTCGATCGAAGACCGGGGCTACATCATCGATCTTGGAATTTCAGTTGATTCAAACGTCGACTCCGCTACATCTCAGGCATCTGCGAACAACCTCACTGCATTCATATCCTTCGCCGACGCTACGAAAGCTACCGGAGTCAACCACCAAGATGAACCATCGCTCCAATGGGAAGTAGGCCAAGTCATTTGGTGCAGAATCAATAAACTCTCCGAAAACGGTGCAACATGCATGGTCTCAGTCAATGCTCAAGATATCTCTCGATCAGTACTGACTGCGGCTACCAACATCGATTCCATACTGCCTCTACACATGGTCTCGTGCCTGATTACCTCAGTGATACCCGGTCAAGGCCTCAATGTAACCTTGCTGGGATTCTTCAAGGCTACAATTCAAGTCCCCCACCTCGAATGTCACTCAACAGCTGGAGTCGATCTGAGTGAAAAATTTAAGGTCGGGCAGAAGCTTCGTGCCCGGGTGTTATGGGATACGATCCCTTCGAAGAACCACGTTTCGCTTGAAGGAAATGAGTCCTTGCTAGGACCTAAAATCTTCAGTTTGAGCATATTCGATCATGTCGTTAAGCTCGACACTCCCGGCCTGCCGACTCACCTACAGAACGGAGAGCGAACCAGATGCGACAAAATCGACCAGCTGCTCCTGTATCCAATCGGCTACACCTTTCAGACAGTCCGGATATTCCGTGTTGACGAGGAATGGGGAGTATATGCAACTTGTGTTAACGGTGAAGACGGACTTCCTATCGAGATCGATCCTCCAGTTGCCTTTGCGCATATCGCTACCATCTCGGATTCCTTCCTGTCTTGCCTCTCAAAAGATAGTGGCCCTTACAAAGTAGGCACAACTCACAAAGCCCGAGTCACTGGGGTATCTCCAGTCGATGGCGTTCTACAGTTAACCCTGCAGCCCTCCGTGGTCGAGCAAGCCTACATGCGCTCTGAAGACATTCCGATCGGTGCATTGATGAATGGCACAATCAAAAAGCTCACTGCCACCAATCTCATTGTACGCATCGAAGGAGGCCACGACGCTGTTGTTTGGCCCGACCATTATTCAGATGTCAAGCATGCCCATCCTGAGAAAAAGTTTGCACCAGGGGCCAAAGTAAAGGCTAGGGTTGGTCATTTTCAACGCTAATTCTTGCTCTCAATCATTGTTCTGAGCACTGTTTTTCCTTATTCCCAGGTTCTTTACACAAATCCGGACAGAGATCAAATCGTCTTAACGCTACGGAAAACACTCGTGCGAGCCGATGAAATCATTACCTCTTACGAGTCAGCCTCAGTGGGTACATGCGCCTGGGCGATGATAACGAAGGTCGAGGAAAAGTTCATGCTCATTGAGTTTTTTGGCCATACTAAAGGTTTGGTTCCCAGAGCTGAAGCAGAGTGAGTAGCTTGATTTGAAGTGCTGAAGACTAGGTTTCATATACTTATTACATCATTTTTCTACGTTTACTCAGGGCAGGATACGTCGAATCAATGAAGCCAATCTTCACGCCTGGCAGACTAGTCAAAGTGAAGATTATTAATGTTGATGTTGAAAAACGTCGCATTTTGGCGAGCGTCAAGCGTTCAACCTCTGATGAAGCTTCGAAACTCTCAACGGTTATTGATGTTGGAGATCAAGTCTCGGCCTTTGTCACAGCGATTCGTAATGCATTTATCCAACTGGACTTACGCCACATCAACGCCGACCCCAGCAGTAGCGAACCAGTCAAAGGACTAATAAGTGTTGAAATTCTTGCTAAAAAGTACGACATCAGCCCTGAAGCGCTGAAAAATCAGTTGAAGGCAGGCGATGAGGTGAAAGATTTGATTGTTCACACGAAAGACAAAGAAAAAGAACTCTTGATAGTTGGGTACAAATCAGCATCGATGCCTCAAGAACAGATGACTGGCCCGATACGATTCATCCATGACAAGAATCTTGTCCTGAACCTGCGCAAAGTACATCAGGCGCCATCGAGTGAAAGCTATGTTGAAGGCTTTCTACCAATTCACTTACTTGCCGAGCATCGAAAAACCCCCATCGATACGTTGAAAGCCCAACTTTCCATCGGAGAAGAGATCACGGGGTTACGGCCGATTCACAAAGACTCCTCTCGAGGCCTGTTGATCGTTGGTTTTCCGAACTCTGACCCTGGCAAATTTTCCTTCACTTCACCTCAGCCAGAGACACTTTCGGTTTCAGATCGTGTTGTAGGTCGAATTTTTAACATCTTAGACACAAGTATAACTTTAAGTCTACGTAAAGAAGGTACTGAAGGATATGCCAAAAGCCGAGGCATCATTACACCTAGTCAATTGGCCAAACACCGCCAGATATCCGAAGAACAGCTGCGATTGGAGTTAAAGCCCGGTGATTATATCTATGACCTGATTGTTCGGAAGAAAGCAGAGGAAATCGACTGTTATCATTTGGGGTTTGCCCCTTCTGAAAAGGCTGTCCCAACTATCGAGCTATCAGTTGGCGATCCCGTCATCGGCACAATCGAGGCCATTCACGAGAAAAACGTGATACTCTCTTTGCAAAGAGAAGGGTGCGAAACCAACGGAGCCGACGTCATCAATCAAGGGCTCATTTCAGTGCAGGTACTGGCTGGTCATCGCAACCTAAACGAGAAAAATCTTAAACAAAAACTGAAAGAAGGCCAGAAGGTTACAAAGCTGGTGGTTAAGAAGACCGACACCGGTAGGGGCCTCGTCATCGTGGGCTTCGCCTCTCCTCACTTCCCACTCCCGCCTTCTCACAGTGAATTTGCGGTCGGCAAAACCCTAAGAGTTCGCGTTAGCGGTAGAGATGCCAATGGTCTGACTGTGACGCCCGTCGACACCTCACCAGTGGAAGGTAGATTTCTCATTGATTATACTGACACCACCGACGATTACGATGAACCCTCGAAGTATCAAGACGGCTCTGAAATCACAGCTTGTGTTATCCAAATCGATAAGAAATCGCTCACAACTTATCTTTCCGTTCGTCCCTCTGATCTCAACAAACTGACCAACGAGTCCCTAAAGAGCTCCGTCAAAGACCGACCCATCCGCCAGTGGAAAAATCTTCGTATTGGTACAGCCATTCGGGGATTTGTGCAAAGAGTAACTGACCACGGTCTGATGCTGCAAGTTGGTACAAACATCCGTGCACAAGTCAGTGTTCAAGATTTATTTGACGAAGACATGCCTGACTGGAAGAGTAAGTTTCGCATCGGTCAAGTCGTCTCAGGAAAGATTATTTCGCTTCACAATCACAAAGCACGGGTCAGCCTCCGAGAAAACCCTAGCGCTCCGAAAGGTGTCCCGGTCTGGGAAAAACTTCAAATAGGCCAGATACTTTCAACCGAAGTAAGCAATATTCAAACCTACGGGATGTTCCTCAAAGTTCCGAAGAGTAAAATAAGTGGCCTGTGTCACAGAACTCAAATTTACGATGATCCAAAGGATTATGAGGAACATAAGAAAGACTGGAATAAAGCCTACAGTGAAGGTATGAAATTGAAGGCATCGATCATTTCACTCGATGTTTCCAAGAAAAAAGTTTCCTTCGCCATCAAACCCTCTGTCGTAAACCCTGAAGCCAACAGCGCAGCCGAAGATCTAAGTCCCGAGGTCATTCAAATAACGGACCATGACTCAGATGAAGACACGGATGATGACGCCTCACATCCTGAAGGGTCGCTACTCCCCACTTCTAACGTGGACGAAGCTCAAACAAAGGCGCATCCTGCGACTGTGAGCATTGATTTCACTGAGCCATGCCTACCGATATCCACTGGCTTCACCTGGGATGCCAATCGATCCGGGACCGACAATGTAGAAGATCAAGATGAACAATCTACCGATACCGATGATGCCGCCGAACGGGGTTCAGCAGAGGTCACTTCTGATCCTACCGACCAGCAGTCCGTAGATGAGATTGAAAGGTTGTTAAAGTTGTCACCCAACTCGTCTCACCTCTGGATTCGACTCATCACTATCTACATCCAGAAGCTTGATATTCCTCAAGCCCGCGAGACGGCGGAGAGGGCATTAGAGGCGATCCATTATCGCGAGGAAGGCGAGAAGTGGAAAGTTTGGATTGCGCTCTTGAATTTAGAAAATACCTACGGTACTGAGGAGCAATTCCGTGAGACTTTCAAAGAGGCATCCGCAAGAAATGATACTAAGACAGTCTATCTCAAGGTAGCAGAGATTTATTCAGAAAGCGGGAAAACAGAAGTAAGTTTACATTACATTTGAAGAAAAAGACCTCTGTGATTGCAGTGGTGGGGGATTGGCAACTTGATGTGCTAACAATCTGATTCTCTCCCGACTAACAGAAGGCTGATGAAATTTACAGCCAAGCGCTGAAGAAGTATAGCCGTAGCTCCAAAGTCTGGACCTTATATGGTGGATTTTGCTTGAAAAATAATCGGCCGACTGACCCCTCAAGTTTACTCTCTCGCAGTTTGAAAAGCTTACCTCAGCATAAACGTGAGCAAGCACCTTGGGCTTTTCAAACCTCACTAACAAGGGAATTTCTCCTGTCATGCTGATAAAACCTTGCCTTGGTTTCCTCGAACGTTGTCAGATGTAAAGACGATAGCCAAATTTGCTCAACTTCAATTCAAATTTGGGGACCCAGAGAAAGGACACACACTTTTTGAAGGGCTGGTTGATACCTATCCCAAGCGTTTGGACCTTTGGAACGTTTACATTGACCTCCACATCAAAGCTGGTAGTACCGTTGAAACTATTCGGGGCTTGTTCAATCGCATGCAGAAATTGAAATTCAATCCAAGTAAGTCTCCGGCATCCTCCTTTCCATGATCATCACAAAATCATTAAAAGTGAATTGATGTACCATCTTTTCTCTGCTAACCCAGAGCGAATGAAGTCCATATTCAAGAAGTGGCTTTCCTTCGAGCAAACAGTGAGTATCTTGTGTGATTATGCTGAACTACTCAGATCTTTCCGCATTCCGAGATTTGAGTTTTCTGACATGGTTGGTTTAATGAATCGTTTAGCATGGCGATAAGGAGAGTCAAGGTATTGTCGTTCAACGAGCTCAGGATTATGTGGCAACCCTGATGTCCTCATCTTCAAATAAACAAATGGAAGAGTCCGATCAAGAGGAATAGATTTTTTCTTTCCTGGTAATGATTATAATGATTTCTGATTTTTAGCACACATTAGTTTAGACCAGAAAATAAATTTCATTCATCATCCGGATTACTGTTTTGTATTTCCAGTTTCAATTCATTTTTGCTTCTTTTGAAAAAAAAAATCATCGTTTCTTTGATTTCATTGTTAGCTGCGTGATCAGAATGAAGGATGGATGTGCATCATCCAAAACTACAACTGTTGCTTAGCAGAGTCTGTGAAAGAAAGTCTTAGTAAGATTTATTGGGAGTAAAGCATATTCCTTCCCAGTTGGAAGCTATTTATCAAGTTGTATGCGTGGTTCTAATCCAGGACAGGTTGATCAAGGCAAGAAGAAAGCATTTAGCAAATTTAATATAAAATGAACACGTAGACCAGGAAACAAAGCAGAATTAAGGATGTCTGGCAAATCATGTTAGAGTGATTGGATTGATATTTGGTGATCTCTCTATACATAGAACACTGATCATCCATTTCACTTTGTATCCTTGGGTTGGTAGGACTCAGGTATTCCCAGGAATTTATCCTTGGGATCAACAATGTTTGGGTTGTGGAGGAAAATATCAACTTCTGGTAAATCTAATTGTATATATTGTGAACTGACCTGGCAAAATGTGGTTATTTGAGACAGAATGGAAATAAAACAATACAGTTATTCTTATAATAGATAGATGAAGGATCATCTACTTTAACAATGTAACAACCATGCTAAAAAAACTACTTGGGTCTGTGGAGGCTTTTGAAATGGGTTCTTGGGTGGATAAGGATGAACTGGGATGATGGTTGTGAAAGGGATACATTAGCTCATGATGAGATAGGAGAACATGAGCAACTAGAATAGGAAAAATGAGAGAGAGAGAGGAAAAACAACATTCCTGGGATGATGGTTGTGAAAAGGATGAAGAAGAAATCCTTGCACACCATCAGCCCAGGTATAAATCTACATCTGGCATGTGAGTGAAAGGTGAGGAAGCACAGACAGGAGAAGAATTGACACAAGAACTGTAAAACCATTCATGACCAGTTCTGGGCAGTTATCAATGGAATAATTTCACCATTGATAACTAATTAAATTTTAGTACCTGTCATCAATGATGGTGTGTGTGAAGTCCTGCTATTACCACACCCTGCTAATTGGCACAAATTGGGTGATGTGCAGAGTGTTTGTCAAGCAGTGCAATGATGTAGTTCTTGGGATGGGTGATGTGGAATTTAGTGATTGTCAACATGTTCAAAATGGCAGCCAGTGGTTAAAAAGTTCTAGTGCAACTTTTCCAGTATCTCAAAAATCAACTAAGTTTTAACCTGTGCAACAATTGGGCAAGCAAGAAAAAGAAATTCTTGCACAAGAAGCAAGAAATGCTACCATAAACCCTGCTATTGTGAACCCTCCTATTGTAACTACCTGACCAAGCAAATTCAAAGTACAATAGAGATGGCACCAGGTACCTGTGGGTGGGGTTGGCGGGTCCCAGGTATGGGTGTGGGTGTCCAAATTCAGTGAGATTTCAGGCAGGTACGTGCCATCTCTACAGCACATGTTTGCTTTTTGAATTGGGTCAGTCACCAAAGATTCAGTTGGTGGGAATTTTAGCCAAGCAGTGGCTGGGAAGAGATATTTATGGGCAACAAGATTCACTGAGAACTATACACAATATATTCATTTTTCTATCCAAAAAAGGTGTCTCTGCATTCCACCCCTTCACCTCCCAAAGGTGCACACTTGCTAGCAGGTTTGGAGGTGCCTGTTGGCATGCACTTTTTTCCAATGTGGCAGTGTCAACCCTACTTTGGTGAGTGAAGTCTTTCATGATTTCAGTCCCTGGAATATTTCTTGTATATTACCTCATGGATGGGACATCCTAGCCCTGAACTACCCTGGTGTTAACTCTATGCTGGATGAAAATGAGGTTTTTTGTTTTTTGTTTTTTTTTTAAGTGCGGATTTGATTAGACATCGAAAATGATGTTATCATGGCCATCCTCAGGAATCATTCTTTATATTGTGGCACCCCCATGACAAATTGCAGTGACCTGAATCACCCCAGGGTATGGAACTAAGACATCTCAGTGGCATATGGTTGAGCCTTTTGGACATGAGCAATTGCTGCTGCTGACAGTACAGCAACAGGTTACTGGCGGCTTGCTGTTGTGCACTGCACTGGCTAATATGCGCCCAAGCACGACCATCTTGGAGGGATTCGTGTCAAGCTCAGGGCTCTCCTGAAGTCTAAAATCTCAAGAAACTGAATCAAGTTCCAAGTTCACTGCAAAACAAAAAAAAGATGAAAGGCTTATGCTTCCGTCACAGGGTTACTGATAAGTGCATCCTTGAAGAGTCTTGAGTATCTTTATCATAATCTTTCAAGGGGCTCTTGTATTAAGTCGATACATACATTATCAATACTTGTGAAGATCTTTTGCCGAATCTTGATTATCCAGGTCTGCGGACCTACAACATTTGTAAACGCAGTCTGCGGAGTCAGATTGAAACTTGAAACCCGTTACCCAAGTAATTATGAAGTATGACAACATTTGTACCTGGCAGTCTCAGTATTATTTATGTTGTACCATCATAACTCATGAGTCATGACATGATTGATAGCCAGGGGTTCTTGGCTGTAAATCGCGAGTTGAGCGGTGGTTCGCAATCGTGTGATCGACGGAGTCATCCAACACATCAGAATCAATATTCGACCTGCAGAATCACTTTGCCCTATCGTGTCCGGAGGATTCTCCTTGGGACAAATTAATCTCTTGTATTTAACACCAGGCCGCCTTTGCCGGGATATGGTTGTACTACAACATCGCCAAATAAATACGATAGCCAATGATAAATGTCTACAAATCGTAGATCGAGGCTCAAGCTTTGGACCATTCCACGCAAAAACCAGATGAGATACAAGGACATGCATTCATATCTCCATCACCATGCTTTTGTGCCGACTTGTTGCATGAGTTGAGGAAGCTTGAAGGGGCAAACTCCAAAGTATGATGATCAAAGTACATAATTATCAAACCGTCGAGCGGAAGTGCGGTGGACACTGTCGCTAGATGATTTCCAGTCATGACACCATCTGGTATCGTGCCCACTTTCCCCCACCCCTACTGTCAACTGAGGCGGAAGACCAGTCCGTCATCTGGGCCCGTTTAGCACCGCCATCTATCCATGAGAGAGCAGCATCTTGAGCCTGGGTGGCGACGGTCAGCACCGGATGCACTTATGATCAAGTCCTCTTTCCATGATCAGTAGTAGCTCTTGGCCATCCTCATCATCTCCAGCGGTGCTCTCAACCTGGTCGACCGAGCAAGTCGGCCACGATTGTTGATCGGCAAGTTCAACACACACAACTCGCCGAATCTTATATTATAAAGTTCTTGGCCAAAACTCCGGAGACTATTCCCCCGTCGGACAAGCAATATTACGATATAAACCCCTGTTGTAAACATCTCCCCAAATTTCTACTCTGGCAGCTTCTTTACACAAATAAGTAGAAGCAGTCCCTTTGAGTCGTCTTATTTTTCCGTTAGACTTACTTCCCACACGGCGTTGACCATTGCTTACTTGGGAAACACCCCAGTTCATCTTCTCTAGTCTCACCCTTAGTCTTCCTTTATTATCCCCCCCAACAAAAAAATTATACCAATCATGTCCCCTCATCGAAACGATCCCTTTTCCGATCAACCCAACCCAGATCTTGGTCGCTATCATTTGTCCGATAACGATGACAGCTTCACCGGACAACCTCCTGTTGACAATCACCATTATGCAAACTTCATTCCATCTCAGAGTCATTCTCACTCCGGCGAATCTGAGTACGAGTTATCAACTCCGACGGGACGATATGAGGCCCCGATTACCTTCGGCGATCAAGAAGATGAGGAAGGCATCCCGCTCAAGGAGGCCCCCTTCGATTCACACCTAGGTGGATTCCGTCCAGAAGCTGGCGGATTAGCATCTGATCCTTCCAAGCCTGACTTCGATCCAGTCGCCAACTTCGGCTTCCCGGTTCCCAACTTTTCAGGAAGCAGCCAAGAAAACACATTCAGTTCAGCCTCCAACACTAATCTCTACCGCTCTCAAACTACCACCGAAGCTTGGGGTAAGCGTCAGAGGATTGATCCCAAACGGGCCAAGACAATCAAAGTAAAACTTCAGCATGGCAATTTCGTCAACGAATATCCGGTTCCTAGTGAGTTCACTGCCGAGTTACGCGCCTGATTTCTCTCTCTCTCTGATTTATTAATCTTGCCTCTTTCATAGCTGCCGTCAAGACTGCCAACCTGGCTGGCGGTTACAAAGGCGAATCAACTGAGTGAGCTCAACTTTTTCTTTATATCTTCTTTTCAAATTAATTCTGATTTGCTCATTTCCATCATTTTTTGTATTAGATTTTCGCACATGCGTTATTCTGCGGTGACTTGTGACCCGGACGATTTCACCAGAGAGGCGGGTTGGACACTCCGTACCGAAAATTACGGCCGAAGAACCGAATTGCTTGTAGCTATCGTAAGTCAAACATCCTGTTTTCTGTGGGTAAATTTCTTGAAAACTTTGAACTGATCTGGATTTGATCCCATTGTAGACTTATTACAACGAAGATAAAATCTTGGTAGCTCGTACCTTGCATGGTGTTATGTTGAACCTACGTGACATGTGCAAAGCAAAATGGAGTGAATTCCGACACATGGCAAACAAGTCAGTTCACTTTCAACTCTATATCCACGGTACCCTTTCCTGATTTTTCTTTTTCTTTTTTTTTTTTTTGAATTTCAGAGGCGGCGAGGAAACTGCCACGGAAGCCTGGAAGATGATTTCTGTGGTTCTGGTTTTCGACGGTATTGAACCTGCCGATAAAGCGACGCTTGATGTGTTGGCGACAATCGGGCTATATCAGGATGGAATTATGAAGCGTCAAGTTGATGGGAAGGAAACTCAAGCTCATGTTTTCGAGGTACGTCTTCATATGGGCATCTATCTTCGGAGTATTTTGCGATATAGCTTGTCTCATTTCTCTGACTTGATTCCTTTTTCTAGTATACCACTCTTTTGTCCGTTTCCCCAAAACCTGAGCTGATACAGCCCCATGCAAACGATCCTGCCAACCTAGTGCCCGTCCAAATGACGCTGGTTTTGAAGCAAAAGGTTTTTTTTCCACATCTTTTTCCCGTCTCGTCCGATCACTGATGATGCAATCTACTTTCCGCGTTGGTTTTTCTAATGTAGAACGCGAAGAAGATTAACTCACACAGATGGCTCTTTAATGCCGTCGCAGCGCACCTTGAGCCAGAGGTTTGCATTCTCATCGACGCAGGGACTAAACCTGGCACCCGCTCACTGTATTATCTATGGGAAGCCTTCCATCACAATCCGCACATGGGAGGTACGTGACTGTCGGCTCCTCTTGCTTCTTCCTGTTGCGGACATTTATTCCTTGAGAATTTGATTTTTAGGGGCTTGCGGAGAAATTCATGCTATGTGTGAGTTGAACCTTTTTTTTCTGTTTAAAGGCTTGAAGCTCACAAAGTGAAACGGTTTTGCTTTTAAGTGTCACGAGGAAAAAAGCTGATTAATCCACTGGTGGCGGCTCAAAACTTTGAATATAAGGTATGGTTTTCCCGCTGCAAGCGCATCAATATAGATTGCCTAACCAAACTCTTCTTTTCCATTCAATCCACACAGATGTCTAGTAAGTTTTTTCATATCCTTTTGCTCTGATCTCGAGACAAAAAAAAATTGAAATTCCTCCATTCGAATTCTAGATATTCTCGACAAGCCTTTGGAATCGTCATTTGGCTATGTCTCGGTCCTTCCTGGCGCGTTTTCTGCATATCGTTACCGCGCTATCCTCGGTCGTCCACTTCAACAGTACTTTCACGGTAGGCTCTTGCTAGCATGTCTTGAAATTATAATTACAAATCTTGTCTAATTCTCATACAATTGGGGTTTTTAGGTGATCACTCTTTGTCCGAACGCCTAGGCAAGAAAGGAATTCAAGTGAGTGTGATATCTGGTTAATGAATTTTAGCACATTTCTTATTGATATTTTTTCCTTTTATCAATCTAAGGGCATGGGGATCTTCAAAAAGGTGCGGTACCCTACAATGCGTATTTTGAGCACCGCTGCTAATGTTTGGTCACACAGAATATGTTTCTGGCCGAGGATCGAATTCTGTGCTTTGAGCTAGTTGCTAAAGCAAAATCGAGATGGGTATTGGGCTACGTCAAGCCCGCAAAGGGTGAAACGGATGTGCCTGAACAAGCTGCTGAGCTTATCGGACAAAGAAGACGATGGTTGAACGGTAGGCGATTTTATCTTTTCCTTATTCGCGCGAAAACATTTTGCATTAAAACTTTTGCTCGGTTCTTGAATAAAGGGTCATTCGCTGCCGGTATATATGTGCGTTCTTTTTTTATCGGATTCACATCTTGACCTTTCCGACATGCTTGCTCATTTTTTTCTTCTTTTCGTCCGCCTCAGTCACTTGCGCATTTCAGTCGCATGTACAGCTCTAGCCATGGTATTGTTAGGATGTTCTTCTTACATGTTCAAGCGTTTTACACCACGGCAGGGTATGTCCGCCTCTTCTACTTGGTAGCTTGTTTTGTAAAGATGACTGAACCTTTGCGACTTTGTTCAGGCTCATCATGAGTTGGTTCGCTCTGGGCAACTGGTTTACAACTTTTTCTGCAATCATCGATATCAGTAAGTCTTTATCAATCGTGTTGGCCTTTCCCAGCTAAATGTATGGTTTTTGTTTAACTAGTTGCGGAGAATTGGCGGGACCCAGTAAGTTTTGCATTCTTTGATTCTTATAAGTGTCATTCCATGTTAATTTATCACTTCTTTTGTGACAGTTTTTGGCCGCGTAAGCATGCTTTCTTCAACACTCCACCCTACCCGGCAATTACTGAAGATTATCAACTGTTGGTAGTGGCATATCCAATTACACGCTAACTCCGCCACCATCACCCCCGAACTCGTCCGAGGGAGCTCAAGCCTTAGTAGCTTGGAAGATAAAAGAATGCTGGTATGTGAATTTTACTTCAATTGGAGTCTACCGAATCTGATTGCGGTCACATGGCAGGTCCGGGACAGTGTTTGACAACACCGAGCATTTAAAAGATAACTCCGTACCATCAAAACATGACTACTTGGGGGTTGCCAATTGGATCCTTAAGATCATATATGTGAGCCATTGCACAGCTGTTCATTGATTTATCATCCTAAGCCTGATGAATTCCCGGAACCAGCTATGTTTGGTGGCTTTGCAGGTGATATTGGCCTTGGGTAATCGGCCCAAAGGCGAAAAAGCCGCTTACCTCGTCTCATTTATTATGTAAGAATCCCGGGCTCGTTTGACCTGATATTACTTGATTATTGAAGCTGACGCCAATTTTCTCACGACGTTGCAAGATTCGGGATCTTTGCTGCATATTTACTTTCAATGACCTTGGTTAGCCGGTGTAATCCAATGCTCTTGCTTCGTCACCTTAGCTGATTTAATTTCTTTTCATGTCTGATTTTTAGATTTTAACCATTAAAGCGTTCTGCCCTTTGACTGCCCAAATTGAGGCGGCATCAGGGGGAGACGTCCTTTTGGTGTTCATGGGTTCTACTTATGGTATGTGATGATGTGCCTCCATCCTCAGTTGAGAATTTGTAGTAACATTGGTTCAAATTTTTAAAGGTCCGATTTTTGCTGGTATCGCGGGTACCTTCGGAATATACATCATTGTATGCCCCCTTTACTTCGTGTGCAGCTTCAGGTCAAACGTTCGCTGATCCATGTTATGTGTTACTTCACCGCAGTCTTCTTTTTTGTACATGGAGTACGTGCAACTCAATCACCGCACCAGATGATCGCTTATTGACCCACATGGTTTTTTTGACAGCCCCTGGCACATTCTTCACTCCATGATTCCTTTCCTCTTGGTTGCTGTCTCCTTCACAAACATCCTCAACGTAAGCACAACTGTTGTGCATGCATTATTTGATTTCGTACTAACCGCTCTTCTTGATAGGTTTACGCTTTCTGCAATTTGCACGATGTATCTTGTAAGTCATCATGGAAACATACAATTCTGAACTGCCAGTGGGCGGCTAACTTGTTATGAAATGCCCAGGGGGAACAAAAGGATCGGATAAAGCGGAAGCTTTGCCCTCTATTTCGAGTAAGAAGGTCTCCAAAGAGAGTGGCGAGCAAATTGTGGAAGACATTCACCGAGTACGTTACTTTGTCAACTAACAATGTTGATGGGCAACGAGTATCTCACCGGTTATTTTACTGCAACTTTTCCATTGCGCAGAATCAACACGATTTAGATGCGCAGTTCCAACAGACAGTCATAAGGGCCGTTCAACCCTTCAAAGTGTCCGAAGAACCTGAAGTACCAACAGAAGATGACCAAAACAAAACATTCCGTACCCGGTTTATTTCTGTTTGGTTAATAATGAATTTCATTTTGGCAATCGCAATGTTGAGGCTCAGTAGCACCAACAGAACGTCAGTACTTTGATATTTTTGACAGCGTATTTCCATGAGCTGACATAGTTTATGTCCAGTAAATATTTCCAGGCTCTCTTATGGTCTAATTTCGGGTTCGCATTTGTCAAGTTTTGCGGTTTTATTTATTACATGGTAAGTTCTGATAAGTGTCCTTCTAACTTGAAGAGGAAAACTAACTTCTTTGATATCAGTTTGGAGCATCATTCTTCAGACTCGCAAGGCTTTGCGCCCGTGCTCGTCGATGATGTCCCTTTTGGATCTAGAAAGAAGGGGAATTACCATCCCTGTCATCTTACACGTAAACTGAGCTCATCGTCAGTCGATTCAACATGGATTGAACCATGCACCACAAAATACATCGTTTCAATGTTAACCTCTTTAAATTACTTCATATTTTCATGGTTTGATTTTTACTTGAAACCTGGAAACAATTTCTTTTAATTTTGTAAATCACATGTACCACACTTCAAATGACCATTTCTGAACCCAATCAGCCACATAAGATTTCCTCACAACATTTGAACTGAAGTTGCCCATGGTACTTTCCATCTGGAGGCGGGCTGTGCTGCGTAGATAAACAGATGCTGGCTTCTGATCAAATGAGGCAAGCATAACCAGAGTTGCCGCATGATATTCTTTGGTTATTATGATTACACTGCAGCTCATGTATATACTGGTGCTGTAGTCCAGCTGTCTTTCTACAACAAGGTAAGGATAGTTCACCTTGAATCTATCGTTATAGCAAAAGGGGCTAGCTGGAAATGAACTGTTGCCTTTGATACTCTGATGAGTTGCAAGGAGTGAAAAGATGGTGTAGGTATGCCGTTCCCTCTGTGGACACTGTAGGGGATGAGTGGAGTGAGGTGAGGTTGGTAGAGTGGATGAGGGTGGATGAGGTTATGTACTTTACTTTGGCTGCTTTGATGGCCAGTTGGAGACAACGACCCTTGAGTTGATAAGCTGCCTGAAGTTTGTTGATCAACCACCTCGTTCATCTCCCGACGCTGCTCTTCTCTTTCATCATCTGATGCTGAGGATGGATCCAATTCCGAGCCGTCGACTCAGAAGGAGCTCTGACTGGCAAGTTGAGGGGCGTTATGGGATCCTCTGATTCTGAATAGATGGAGTAAATCGGGCTTCTATAATCTTCATCCTCATGAGAAGTTAACTCATCCTGGAAATTTAAAGGAGTCGAGGAGGAGGAGAAGACGAAGACGATTGGAGAGCAAAATTGCTCAGACACTTGCGAATTGGGAATTGGCAAGTCTGGGGGAAGAAACGCAAGCAAGAGTCGATGGGAAGTGCTTCAAAGAATCGAACACTGAAAAAAGAAGATCAGCTCCATCACTGTCGAGGCTGACAGAGCAAGAAATCAAGAAAAACGGTTGAATTGAATTTGAAACCAGCACCTCACTAAGCACTTAATTGAAGACTGGCTTTGTGACCACTCCACCGGCCGTGAGCTTATCATGCAAGGAGCATCGACTGCCGGAGCAGTGTTCGAGTATTTACACTTATTATAGGTTTCCGTTTGATTTGGCAGCAATCACATCTCAAAATACAAAAGACGTGTCCATAAGAAAGGCCATCGGCAGGCATTTACTAAAGAACAACGGGAAAGACGATCTCTCCCGTAGCAGCTGTCCACGCCAGATCTGCATAGGCGCACTTTGTGGTCAATATGTTCTTTGAGCGGATGTCCACTTGTTGAAGCCCTCATTGAATGAGAGATTCTGTTGGCCCAATGCTGACAGTCAAAAGGGTGCAGCACAATGACTTCACCGACAAAGCTCTCTCTTCACTATCCGAACATCAACAATCTGGTGGTACTAAACTTCCCGAGGTTTTCATGACCACCTCTTTCGTGGTCAACAGAATCCACCCCATCACTTGTCTGTCCCAAAGCAAACATCACCCACCAGAAGTCATGAGTCTCATGTCCGATTCATTTGCGTTCTTCTAATTGAGGAACTTCTCTTGTCTTCATGGCCACCCATCTTGTCGAGTAAGATACTAACTACATATAGCTTTCAAGCAGCTTCATTGTGATTTATGCTGAGAACAATCAACTAGAAACCTTGCACTGATTTTTAATCCACACCACCATACATATATTAATGAGAAAAAAAAAAAAAAAACATCATTATTAATTGGCTACAGCTCGTTCCTCTTCATTGCGTCTCCTCTTCTTCTCCTGTAAACTTGGGCAATTGTTGATGACCATGTCGAGCAGGTCCCAACAGCACTCCTGGTACTGGTCAACCAAATCGAACGAGCTATGCACACAGAAGCGCTCCCGATACTTTCTTCCATCGACCAACATCATCGTCCTCCTCAAATACTTTCTCCCTGCCGCATCGAACCCCAGAATCAAGTTCTTCGTCTTCGAGTCCTCGTCATTCGATTGTCTCGCCTTCGACACGCCTGAGACCTCGACCCACTTGAGAGTTGTCTGATATATGTACGCCTGGAGAAGTGACCTCAACCATCTTCAAAATTGCGTACATCGATCTCATGTACCGTTCCATTAACAAGGGCGAGACGTTTCTGAGGAACTCGCTGCGTTTGTTGATATCCTTCATGATTCTAACGATTTCCTTCAGTGCCAAAGATCCTGATCTCTCCAATTTCTCTTTCATGCTCAGCATCTCTTCTTCCGTGCCCAGACTTTCTCCAGAAAACTCAGAAACTGGCTCAGTGGTTCTGACAAGTGTCGGGCATGTGCAAAATTTAGGTCTGCATGTCTCATCAAAGCATTCAACTGGTGAATTGTGCTCCGCGGGTAGGGCAGTCTGAACCCGGGCATGACAAGACGCGGCAGGACGGCCAGAATGAGGATCCTGTTTGGGGGGAGAGGGAGAGGCTGTTTGAGATAAGTTGCTTCCGGTTCTATCAATCTGCGATTTCTTCGGCCCGGTAGCTTGTCTTATTATCTTGATATCGTGATGACTGACTGCATGCGTGGACATCGAATGGCTGACAATCTCGAGATCGGAAGCGTCCTCTGAGTCCACCAACTCCTCAGCATTGTAGCTTTCGCATCTGATTGGTGGGCAAGTGATGATGGGTAAGCGATGATGGAGTTCGGCCCTAAGGCTATGATTGTGGCGCCAATGCCAGACCACTCGCAAGGAATTAGTTTTGATGTGATGTGAAACTGAAAACTGGGCCTTGCATCCAAATCGGGTATATTGATGATTTTCCTTAGGTAATAATTCGATTTCAGGGGTATCCATAGGGTTGCCACTGCATGGACACTGGTAGTCTAGTTTAAAGAAAAACTCTGCATGGTGTCCATTGCCATTTGAGTGCGATGAGTCTAGGGACGAATAAGAGATTTTCTGGATGTTCCACATGATTGGTGCCATCATTGCTTTTGCAAATTCCTGGGCCTTGAAAAGGGAGTGGCCTGGAATGGTGAACAGGTGCGGGTGGTTTGGGAATGATGGGGTGCTTCTGTTAACATTCCAAGCTGATCTGAGGACATGGGTAGCTAGAAGGCCCCCTTTCAGGACAGGGATCCTTGTGGGTGGAGCTGGGATGACAGTGTATATATCTCGAACTAGTGGGTAATCTGGATTGACAGGGTTGAGGTTGACTGATGCCATCGTCTATAGAGAATGAATGACCTTGAAAGTTGTTGGAGGAGAATTGAAGGATAGGTGCATGAGTATCCAGAATAAAGTAAAGCTATGCCAAAAAACAAACCCACAAAATTTGAGAATGTTCTGAAGAACACAATGAAGGTAATGCGAGTAGGAATTATGTAAGTTAATGTTCAGGAGATTTTGAGCAAGGGAGTAACAAGAAATTTATTGGGGTAGAGGCCAAATTAGGCTCCAGTCCTGAGTTGAAAGTGAAGTTGGGTCAGATGAGAAGAAATGTAAACTGGAGAAAGTGCAAAATTAATAGATAAAGAAGGTTGGTTGATCAAAGCCTGCTGAAGCTTGCAAGGTGGACAGAGTGTTTTTGGGGAAATCCATCTTCTTATCGAAACTTTGTACTTGTTCAAAATTGCCACTTGGGCTCATCATCACCGGTGTATAGAGAAAGGAGACCATCCAGAAGCGTGAATGTTTTCCTAGGTCTGTTTTTGGCACATTTTCCTTTGGAATTAGCCTGGGGGTTGTCGATATTTCCACAGAGCTGAACAGATCCACCCTAATCTGTCCCAGATCAGATATCGCGCCAACAATTCTTCTTCCAATCATAAACCACCGAGCTTCATCCTTTCAGGGGGCAAGATAAACCCTGGGTGGCCTATGAGGCTTTTGTTCTGCTCGATTGATCATGGTCATCCGTCTCGTGGGTTTCAAGAGGGAAGTCTTTCCCAATATCAGTCCCGATTTGCCACTGGTTTGTCTAGATTATCTCTCCTTCTTGTCCAATGTAGCCAGTTCCCTTTACAAGTTCACCATTCCGGCTTCCCGCCCTTCACCATCATTATCAGCATCACTCTCCCTCCAACGCAATCTGGCGCTTGGTCATGAGACCAAGATAGATCGTCTGAAAAGGGAGTCACTTCATTGAGTCATTATAGAGCCATGTATCATAGGCGGATGACCGATCGATCCGATTTGGATGCAAGTTTGACTTACACATTTCGGGAGCAGAAGTCCAGCTTCGGCCCTCGATCACCTCGGCTGGAGGAGACAAGTCCCTCCCTCTCACGAGGCTTTTCCCAGAGTCACGATCCGCGCGAGCCTCCATTCTTTTCCTTTCTAAACGATCACACGCGTCCCTTTCCACGCATAATTTTCTTATCCACATCACTCTTCATCATTTCTCCCTCTACACACGTATTCCCTTTCGGTTGAAGCATTGGTCTGTTGGAATGGGCGTTCTGAAAGTTGGAGGTGGTAATATCCTGGAGCGATGGCCGGTGAACGACGACGAGGTGTGGTTGAAACGAAGTGGATGTGATGGTGAGATGAGCACAGAAGAGCGCTGGCTGAGCCGCTGAGGGTGGGGTTGAGCGGGCCTGGGCTTCAACAGGTGGGCCCAACCCCGGTCTGCCGAGTTGCGGCCATAGCCAACCTATTCAACTGAAAGGTGTTCCAGTCAATCGGTACATAACCCTTAAAATTCTGAGTGACTCCACTCAGCAAGAGCTCAGTTCGAAGACAAATACAAATAAGTGTGTTCTTAAAAATAATGCTGAGGTGGCTTCCAAACTTGGCAATCATAATGATACGTTGTAATCAGGGAGGACATGGACGTGGGGGGGGGGTGTTAATTGGATAGGCAAAAGCTTTGCGAGATGCCACTTGGAATATTGGAACAACAGCAATGCTGGATGTGAACAAACCTAGTGTTGATTTATATAGGAAGATCAAGTTTTCACCATATTTGACAATCCAGTTGATCCACAAATCAGTCCACAACCACCCATCATGAGTCCTGGCACAGTGTACCGAAGGGTCTCGACTGAGATCATCAAACAGATCAGCGGATTCTCCTCCTGAGATGTGAGTGCACAAGCTGACCACCTCCAGCAATAATGAGGCCCTACATCGCTAACTGATGACAGTTTATTTGGTCTGCTTGGGGATACAAGATTGCAGATGCATTGATCAAGCTGAAGCATCCTAGTGGCGGTTATTTACCTGACATCAACCTCCAAACGGGAAACCATCAAGATCCAGGCTCGAATAAGTTACGTGGCGAAGCTTTCACGGTCGAAGTACGAATTCATGTTCTTGCGAAGACTTACCACATAGGCGGTACTCACATGATTCTAATTTTTTGTTTAAAAATCGTTGGGCGGACATAAAGATGGTCCCAGCTACAGATACTGAATCTTCATGTCCAACACAGCACTATGTGAGTGATCCATTGAAGCTGCATAATTCTTGTGGTATGATCTCGAAGCTAAGAGGACTAAATCCCTACAGGTTGACACTGGAGAGATGGACACAGTCATGGTCATCTCCAGTCCAGCAAGTGGGTGATTCTCATGCAGAAGAAAGGAGTTCATCAAACTGAACTTGGTAGAGCAATTGAGAGACCAACCTCTGATCTTTCTTTTCTTTTGGAATCAAGACTCAAAGAGTGCCGTGTGGGGAGGCTTGATGGCCGCAAGGGCCAAGGTCAAGGGCGTCAAAGGTGTTGTGATTGATGGTCGTTGTCGGAATTTAGCAGAACACAGAGCGGCTGATTACCTGGTAAGAAACTTCTCTTTTTTTTTCTATCGCAACAATTAAATAATGCCTATCTGATCCCAGAAATTTAGGTCTTTGCTAGAGGGCATTCAGTTTTGGGACAATTGACTTTCACCCGTCCTTCCAGAATCCAAGTTCCTATTACGATCCATCCAGTTGCTGATAGTTTTGGAAGCTCCGACATGAACAAGCAGATCATCTTTCCACCGACCACTGTCAATCCATACGACATCATATTAGGAGATGAAGATGGGTTGGTGGTCATTCCACATGCGGAGATTGAAGAAGTCATCAAACTTTGCACCAAAAATACCCAAGTTGATCAAAAATGTTTAGAACATCTGAAGGCTGGTCATACTATCGCCGATACATTCTCCCAATTTTGTGGCAAGTGACTTCCCTCGAAGAAACCACTTTACCAGTTAAACTTCTACAAGAGACGCAGAGTTGAGATTCGATGATTGTTTGGTTCTAGCGCTTGAAAAATATTGGCACAAAGAGTCACTAGCTTTTCTTACTCTATCTTTCATGAGTTATTTGTCCATGAATCAATAAATTAAACCTAAAATTTTAGTACATGGCGACATTGAATTGATCGTGTGCAGCAAAATGTTGGTATCAAAAGTTCAAGATATGGAAACAAAACATCGCTAGATTAACATCGCAGGAGACACGGAGGCCTGCAAAGCTGACTACACTAACCCATCTCCTTTTAGATAGTAAATGTAAAGTATGGAAGCTAGACTAGCCTTGAAAGGTTTTAGTGCAATATCGAACAGATTATCTTCAAAAAGCAAGAGAAAATGATGTGATCAAACAAAGTGGAAATGATCTCGAAGGTCGCATGTGGGCGTAAAAATACAGCTTAATTTGCTTCGGTGCAGGTTTTCCTTGGAGACTTCTTTTGTTGTTGTGAGAAGTGAGAAAAATGCCAAACTTCTGGACAAACTTATATTTGCCACGATTAGACATTGGATGCCTCAACAAGGAATTATTAAGTGCTGGAAATCGGTTTTCCTCATGAGACTTGAGATATAATCAGACATTCTTTCCTCATTGTTGGGTCTTTCACTCCTTCTTCCAAATCCTCAGCCACATGTCTAGCTTCCGATTCTGCAAGACTTCGCTCGTCGTACTTGCGTGCCAACTAAAAGAATGGTGCAATCAGTAGACAGCACGTTTTGATGATCTCATCTTATCATTTACTTACAAATATCATGAACGCAAGGAAGGCCCCAAACACTCCGGAAGAACTGCCGACAGCCACAGACACAAGAGTGATGAAAGGTTTCCACTTTTTCCGTGTTCTTGTGCATAGATATGTGGCACCAATAGAGCGCCCATTGAGATCAGCTGACGCGGCGTTCATCATCCAACCGAGTGTGGAAAGCGAGGTCTGGAAGAGATCAGAAAGGGAAGCGGGTATGCTCCCAAGATTGTATTCGCTTCCAAGCGGACGAACACCACCGACCCCCAAAACTGAGAATTGGAACCCGGAAGCGCTAGTATCTCCAGTGATCTTGAAAGCACTAAAGAAATCTGTGGGTTTATCAGATCTATGGATGAAGATATTTCCTTGAGGTGTCCCATCAGAATGATTGGTATTCTGGAGGGGCTTATTTTTGACAAAAGGCACAAAGTTAATGTCCCCGATCCAGATGGAAAGCTGAGTGAAGTCGCTGCTTGTTAAGGTTTTATTTCCATACACGTCTATCTGGTCTTGGCTGTAATAAGGGGGGTATGCGGATAGGGGTAGTGTGTGAGGCTCAAATGACAGGTTTCGATAGGCTGAGTCCATGTTCCTAGAAAAAAAATGTATGGCCATTTTGTCAAAGATGACTCAAGACTTTCAAAAGGGTTATCACAAGTTCTAACTTATCAGGCTGGACTCACCCCAAGCGACTTTGCAAGCTTTGCTGGAGGTCCTTGGCAAAGTTTGGTAAACTAAATCAAATGGACCATTGGGAGGGTTAAGAAAGTTTTAGTTGAGGAATTCAATCAGAAAGACAAGAAAAAATCTCCAACATTTAGGCTTACTTGGTTGTTGACAGGTCAAAAGTCGTGCACAACTTGACACGAAATTCGTAGGTTGGTAAGAAACAAAGTCCACAGAGGCTAAGTCCCCAACATTGCATCAGAATGGGTTCTTTAAGCTGAGTTGAGAAATTGTGTTCCAATTTCAGCGCTCACCTGTATTTGTAATTGGTATCCTGAAATTGGTAGGTGAAGGATGCAGAGGTTACCTACCATTTGCATCAAGCCAATTGACGTCAGCCAAAGTACCCTTCCAAGTAAAAAAAAAAGAACAACTAACATTGCAAGACATTGGATCACCATCATACAAGAAGCCTGTGTAAACTTTGCCCCAAGCTGCAGCCGAAGATCGCGAAATATCACCAATGGTCCATTGGAAAGAGCCAGGCGCCTGAGCAGCCCCCAGGCCCTCGGGATCGTTCTCCACATTCCCCGGCTGGACTGTGTAGACATCGTCGCCCAGCCTCAAGGAAGCCGGTCCACAACTCGTTCCAGTTCCGTTCTCGTCGATTTTGTTTTCTGGATATGATAAAAGTAGAGACCTTTTTCGTGTGAAGTTTAAACAGCGGTCAGGCGCGTTAAAAGGTCTCCAGTTTGGAGCGAAAAATCGACCTACTCTGACGTCTCTCCATGGCCTCTGAAATAACAAATTCAACAATCTGGTAAGTTATGGGCAAGATCCTGGAAGTATCAATGCAACGGAAACTCATGATAAACACACAACTTACTGGGTCAGAATGTTGAATGCTAATAGACCAGCGTAAACAAGGCCCTAAGAAGAAAAAATTTTAGTCGGGACCAGAGCCAAAGATGAGTATTTCGAAGGAGAAGCTCACGCAGCTGATCGTGACTTTTCGGTGTAACCAGACGAAGTTCCAATCGGCAGCATGAAGCGAGGTCAACCGAGCATGCACGTCTTCGTTAGAAAGGAGAGAGAGCTTGCAGCAAAAACGGTGAAAAAAAAATGTCAAACGAACTTACGAATAGGAGTTATTTTTTGGTTGGAAAATTCCTTCGTCAAAGGATATTGGCCGAAAGAGGAGAACACCTTATTATTTAGAAAGCTGACTACCATCTTCTTTGGTTCATGAGCGTCCTTATACGATATTGAGAGAAAAGTTATGGTTGCGTTATACGAGGTCTGTTCACTGGCGCGTCATGAGAAGACCATGTTTTTATTCCGTAGAGAACATCTGGAGTCTGGCTGAGTTCTATTCAAAATTTGTATGCGACATGCACCCTTTTTACCGGCAGATATTTAATTATGTAGACGACTCAATAGGAATGTTATTTGGAGATTTACTATAAATCATCCCGCCACTTTGTTTCCGCTCAGTCAGATTGGCGTTATTCTGCGTTACATAAATTCGAGAACCAACTCAGTGAGGAGATGTGTTGAAACTTGAGACCTTGTTGACAGTGGCGATTAAAGAAGTTGGACAACCGATGCGACTCGGTCTCGCTGACTGTAGTTGAGCTCGTTCTTAATCTAACTTAACCAAGTCCCCCTCGGAGGGGGGACGCCGTCCCGCAGGGACCCTGCGAAGGAGGGACGTATGCATGTAGGCGCCCCCTCGGCCGTAGGGCATTAGGAAAATCGTTCTTATTATTTACCACTACGACCGGGGGGCAGGGAATTAGTTAAGTTAGGTCATTAATAAGTTATCACAAGTATCGTCGCTGATGTAGGAGGTATTCGCCATGAGGCGAGCACTGTTTCTGATGAACATGGTCGGAAGGGCCTGAGGCCACGAGAGCCAACATTCATGAATAGCAGGCCTGTCATATACCCAATCAGTATATTGTGTCACCAATCTGGTGTGATTTCTCAGTCCCGTCCCTGATTTAAGTCATTTAGGGCTATCCCACACATCATTCACAATCATGTTAACACAACATCTCAAATCATCAATAACTGAAACCTGATGATGTCAAGTTTATTTGCATTGAATAACCCAGCTTGTGGCACAATATAAAAAAGATAGTCTATGAGATGTGTCTCTAGTGGGCGCAGTTTTTGTAGCATCGCTTCAATAATTGAGTTGTGGGACATTTCAAGGCAACCACGAAGCCAAATGGCAGAGATAAAGACAAAAACAGCTTTGTGTGCAGGTTTGTTACCCTTACTTGATTTGATAACCGGCCGCAGCGAGCCATTGGAGGTATGGTGTTGCAAATTCCGAAGGGACCTGAGAGATCAAAGCAGGTATCTGCAAAGATACAAAAACCAAGGTTATAAATATCGGCGACTTTAGATTAATTTAACGGTCAAAACATACTTTTCCTGGTTGCGCTTCGCCAGCTTTAACCAGCCCACTAGCTAGAGCGTCGCGAGGATCAACCATAGCACTAAATGGATCCCTTTTGCCAATGGTCTCACTGGCTCCGAGTCTACTGAATCCCACTTGATAGCCGTGTTCTTCCAAGTCAGTCACGTTCAACTCGCTATTTTCGCCCGCCGTATTTTCGGTTGGCTTTAGCTGGGGTAGAGTAAACAAGCGCAGGACGGATATGAGAACTGGAAGGTACAGTCGAGACTCTGCCTCGCATTGCAGAGTCCTTGCTCGAGTTAGCAAGGATATGTGCCCAAGAGCAACTACGCGGCGCTGTTTAGGTGGTGTTGAAGCAACAGCGGGCAAAAGTACACCTTCCATGACCTGAGAAAATAGACTGCATTTTTTTTTTTTTTTTTTGATCAGCATCTAATGAGGGAAGCCAATCAAGTTTCACGTACCCAGGTTGAACTGCATTGATGGTATTGATTAAGAGGTCAGGCGACAACTGAGGCTTTTCCAAAGTCACGATGAACATGATTGTGTAGAGGAAGGCCGATGTGAATTTATCAGTCTTGCTTTGTTGGAGCCGGGTAAGTAGCAGAAGAAATACGTTTCGGAGATATGGCAATAGAGCGTCTCTGAGAATCAAACAGAGTTTGCTTAGCATGAACTTTCAGGAATGATCAAGCATGCCGGTGTGAAAAACCTACACAGGAACGTGCTCAAACAAAGCTTCTAAAAGTTCAAATCCATAAACGTCGTTTAGCTTTGAGCCAATCAACTTTTGGAACACTCCAAGCATAGCTGAGATGCGATTTTCGGCAACGATCCGGGGAGCACCGGCACTGAGGTAAGCCCTGAGCAACCGAACCAAAGCAGGAACGTTCCCACGAAGCTCCCATAACGTCGGAGTCAGAAGCGGAGGTAACAGATCATTGTAATAGTCTGAAAGAGGTTCTGAATGATTTGTATGGAGCTCGAGCATCTGGGAAAGAATTTGGAAGACGAAGGGAGAAAAGTCTGAATGCCGGGTGGATGGTAAGCTTTTGTTTATTTATTTTTGTCTTATATATTTGGGTGAAAACCTGCGGATCTAATCACCTTGTACGTCTTGGGTCAGGATTTGTGAAAAGATTGGGAAGAGGGCCTGCTCAAAGATGGGCAATGTCCTCGTATCTGCCATCGTCATGAAACTACAGATAAAAGGTAACTCAGCTCTGAGTTACCGGATGAACGTTCAAATCGACTTACCGTATCAGCGCAGAAATGCTTTCGAATGTATAATGGTTGAATTTTGGATTGCTCGGGTTTTTGCTGATTTCGGTTAAGATCATGATGAGATTCGATAAGATCACTTCACAATGCGGTAACAGGGCTTTTTGTGCGGTCACGATCACTCGCATTACACCTGCAAATGGAACATCCAAGTTAATCTAGTCAAGAAAAGCACAGGAGTAAGGATTTGGAGCACACATTTCATCAACATCTCATTCTGCGCTATTTGCTGGGGTGTAGTTCCTTTGCGTATCTGGGCAAATAATCCGGTCAATAACTCGGGTGCCAAGTCTTTCAGATCAGTCGAACTGAATCTATTCAAGGGGAAGGCATCAGCTGGGTATGATATGGTAACCCAACTCCTGAATACAAGAACTTAGAACTCACAGCAGTTGATTGTTGCGCTTCATGAACAAAATCCGTTCGACCGTAATTGCTGCATACGTATAGATAACAGAAACTTCAGAGTTCAAATGAGGTACAAGCAGTGGCATTACCGAAATCAGCTGCTCTCGTGTCAGCTGGTTGCGAAACGTATGTAGAAATTTGATGGCGTCCGCAACAATGATTGGATGGGGTGGGGCTGAATTCTTGACTGATAAATCTTGGACTACTTGTTCTGAGAAGAACAGCACTACGTCCACCAAGGCATTGGTGTTGGTAACTCCGCCAGCCGTGGTAGAACTACGGGATGCTATGGATGCGAGAAGGGAAACAGCGGCATCTTTTAAACGCCAATTGCCAGTCGGATCTGCGGCATATTGCTAAATACAGAGTTTGGGTTAGGGTTGGGCAATCAGGGCAATCTCTGCCAACCGATTTCGTAGATAGATTCAAACAGTACCTGTAGATAGTTTTGGACATATCGAGTGATAATCGCAGTCACTTCTTTCTGAAATTGCTCGATCAAAGCTCGAGTGATTTCGATCGCAGCCTGTCTGCGGGTATCGTTATCGGAGCCTTCAAGATCACGGCGGACGAACTCGGCGGGATCGTCCTCGAACATTTCAACTTCGAAGTCTACAAAAGGATTTTTGATGAGCTATGAATGGCGTCCCTCGCAAGGTTCAAGTGGCGTAATAACTCACTTCGCAAAAACATATTAGGCAGTACAATTTTCTCGCAAATCGCTTCCAAGGTTTCTAAGCTTTCAAAGAGGGCCCTCTGTGATGGCATTTTAACTACTACCGATAAAAAGCGCGTGGCTTTGCTGACAAGCTAGAATTCATTACCCATAAATCAGTAATGATCGGTGTGCCTCTTCGCTGCTGAGACTCACAATATCTGAGCGCTGCTGACGGCCTAATCTGGTTAACATGTCCCAGCACGTTTTGACAAACACGTCCATCATGGGAAAGACGTCGAGGTACCTTAGACTGTAGAGTTCCACGACTTCGCATATACCGGCGCGAATCTTTTCTAACTCTCCAGCTTCACCCTCTTCTTCGTCATCAGCGTCCTCTTGTCGAGCGGAGGCTAGATATGGAATTTCCCATGTCAAATATTTATGAAGCAGGTTCATGAACTCTTCGAGGTGATCCTCGAAATATTCAGGAATATCTTGACAGTTGAGATCGTAATAAATTTGGATCATGAAGAGGAGACTTTTGGCAAGGATTTGCTGTTCAGATTGTGGAAGGGTGGGGGCTACATTGGTAAGTGCTGTATCTAGCAACTAAACAAAGATAAGAAGGGTCAGTTAAGTGAGTCTGTCTAAGCAGTGAACTGTGGGGGTTCTGACTTTAAAAAGCTGAAGATACGGTTCACAAAAGCGTTCCAAGACGTATTTGATTTCCAGGAATAGACTATCAGTCCTGAATTGAGCGCGCCACCTGGGTGATTGAGGATTCGAGTTAGATGACGGATGATTTCAGAAGAATGTTAGGGGAAGAAGACCTACCTTTTGAAGATTGCATGGGCAGTGCTCAAGAGTGCATTGTTGGCATTCCAGTCATTCGGATTGAAATTTTGTACGATCTGATCGATGAGGTCAGGCCAGTGTTCTGGGAAGTCGGAAGTGGCTATGATCGAGATTGCTTCGGAGTATTGAACTAGTAGACTGGGTGAATTAGCTAGCGAGATTAGAACTGAGACAAGCTTTGATTTGAGACTGTCGCGATCGGCTGTAGAAATTTGACTCTCTTCTCCCTCTTCCTGTCAATGAGCAAAGTGATTATTATTAGTATCCAAGCTTCATGGGATCACCATCTTGGTTGAAAGTCATCTCACCGGGGCCCAAGAATTTTTGACCCAGTTCTTGAAAGCGAGGGCGGCTGCTTGTCTGGCAGTTGGTTCTGCCTTAAGGTCCTGGGTGATCGCTATGAGCACATTGCCAAAGCCTAAGTGTTGCTTGGCCATTTCTAACTGTTCCTCGGCAAGCTTGCGATGAGCAGGATCGGGGTTGAGGGACTGGCAGAGACATTGTGAGATGATCTTGATGGTTTCGGGATTAGATTCCATGGTAAGCAGCAGGGAGTCTTGAGACTGGTTGGGTAAACTCCTCCTTGTTGACTATTTGTTGGTTTTGTGCGATCGATGTACTGTACTAAAGTGGTCAACAGGGAAGAGTCGCATGAAAAAGGGCAACAGTCGCGCCAGTCGCGCCAGCTACTGTGCCCCGGCGCGTCCCAGCTTCCAAGACGGTGTTTCATGGACATGTTACTCACCAATCACACATTTCAAGACTCTTCATCCCTGGCCCTGCAGTTTCTCTCACAAGCTGGCGCTGCCCAGTACATACTTCACCCTATGCATCACATCTTGATAGGTCTCAGGTGGCTTAATCCGACGTTATCACTTCTTAATCATCTCTTTGTGATATTTTGATCCTTTCAAAATAGCTTCTTCGCCTGCTCTATGCTTGTAGCTTGGGGAAAAAACAACATATCCTGCTACTTATTGCTCGGACAAGACCCATCTTAGCTGATCTTGCTGCAGAGAGTACATAATACCATATGTGGGGAGGCATTGGGTAAAAAACATTTGAATAATTATTTGGCATCTAAACAGATGATCACTTTTCTGTCCGCAACCACGAAAAACCCCACCTCACGCGTCGATATTATTCACCACACCACCACCCCCCCCTACTAATTCAGAAAAGTTCTTTTTTCCCTTTCCCCCTTCCCAGGGCAGCTCATGCTTCCCGCCAACCGCCCCCCCGATCCTAACCGCTTGTCCGGCGCGCCCCTCGCCGACAACACAGCCATGATGGAGGACCTCGAGGTCCAGCTTCCCCCCCGTCCGTCAACCAAACCCCCAGCATCCAGCCTTCACATCATCCTGACAAAGGCACTTGGCGAAAATGCGCAACGCGAAGCAAATGGTTCGATCACCTTGGACGCCAAGTTTGTTGAATTGATTCTCGACCTCTCGGCCAACAACGAGCGCCTGATCCAACGACTCGAGGCCACTGTCGACCAACTCAACGCCAAAGTCGACCCGCTGATTGAACAGATGGCGGAATTTAGGAACTTCATGAAGACCGGCCCCAAGCTCGCGACTAGCACTGGCAAATCCTTCGCGTCGGTCACGTCAAAAACTCTCGCGGACTCCATTCACGCGCCATCTGTGCGCCCCCCTCCCAAACAGGTTGTTGCATCCTTGAAGCCGAAACGAGTTATCATCCACTCGAACCCGGCAAATACTACGTTGAAGGACGTGCCCAGCGGGGCCCTGGTCCAGAAGGCAAATGAAGCTCTACTCGGTCTAGATGCCCGAGTTGACGGCGAGACTGTAGCAATCAGAGGAGCAAGCATGCTCCCCTCCGGCGACGTTTCATTCTACACCAAGAACCGATCTCACCAAAAGTGGCTTATGGACAACAAGCATGTGTGGTCCAAAGCAGTCCACCCTGATCTAGAGGCGACCCCCAGCACCTGGTCAGTGATGGCGCATGGAATCCCCAAGTCTTTCAATGTCAGCAAGTCGGCCAATCTCGCTCTGCTGGCCTCCGAGAACAATTTTCAGGCGGCTGATTTGGCCCGTGTCCGATGGATGGGCTCGAACGAGCTCTCGGCAAAGAAAGCCGGCTCCTTAGTCTTGGCCTTCACCAACAAGGATCTAGCCCTCCGAATTGAGAAGTCGGGCATCTTCCTGAACTACGACTATCACCGGACTGAACGATTCAAGCCTCGTCCCCCTCAGTGCTTCAAATGCCTGAGGATGGGTCATTTTGGAAAATGGTGCCGAGAACAGGCCCGGTGTGCGAAATGCGCCGGTAACCACTCAACAAATGAATGCCCTGAAGGCATAGGTGGCGTCAGTACTTGCATCCTCTGCAAAGAAGGCATCAAGAACAAAACCGAGGGCGTCGTCGACGCCAATCACACCCCGTTCAACATGGTCTGCCCCTATAAAAAGGCCTGGTTCGAGAAGAAACGCCTCCCGTCTCAATGATAGGTACAACCTCAGTAACCCCCGATTGCGCACCTCAACCTTTGCCATCGTCAAATCACCCCTCCCCCCGATCTCAACCCTCCTCGGCTAATTTCAATGCTTTTCTGCAGCGTGAACTTACGACATCAGACTCTCTTCCCAGTACTGACTCCCTTTCCTTTTTACAGTTGAACTGCCACGTATCCAACGCTGTCACGCTAAGTCTTCTCAATTCTGCGTTTTCTTTTGACTTTCTTCTCCTCCAAGAACCCTGGGTTAACCCCATTGATCTCTGCCCTCCTCAGCACTCGGCATGGCGTATGTTTGTAGCGTACGAACACTCCCCGACGTGTTGGCGGGAGCGTCACAAGGCGACCATCTATGTTCGGCGGTCTATCCCTTCAGAAGCCATCAGGCTACTGGAGGGGGGAACGCAGAACCTAGTAGGCATTGAGGTTACTCACCACGGGAAAGTTTTCCGTTTTCTGAATGTTTATAATCCCCCTCCCCTGTTTCTCTCTGTTGATCTTCTTAGAAACTGGCTAACTACACATTATTCTCGACAGCACGCAATGATCATTGCGATGGATTCTAACCTGCATCACCACCACTGGAACCCCCCTGGAATACGGAAGGTTGAACCCGAGGCTAGGAACATGCTAAGTTTCCTTTCTGCTTTTGGTTTCAGGATTGTCTCCCCAAAACATGTCCCTACTTTCTTCTCCTCTAAGGGGAAGGGCTCGACTATTGACCTGGTTTGGTCAAATTTCCTAGGATCAAGGCTGGTTGAGTCAGTCTCGGTATCCAGTGATAACTTCGGATCGGACCACCAAGCCCTCCATGCTCACCTCAAGCTCAAAAAACCCGCCCCGTCCTTCCGTTGGAGCACCCCCCGCTGGTCGGAAGTGGATAAATCCAAGATTGCTCTTATCTCCGCTAAGCTATCCACCTCTCCTGTTTCACCGCATGATGACCCCAATGTATTGGCTGATCAACTTACTTCCTTTCTGAAGGAAGCACAGGAATCCCTAGGCAAACGTGTCCGCGCCGACAAGGCCAAAACCAAGCCATGGTGGTGTAGCAAAACACTTGACCCGGTCTTGCGAACCCGAAACCAAGCACGGAGGTGGATGCTCATAGCTAAGTCCCCTGAGGCTATTGAATGTTATAGGCAGTGGAACAATTATTTCTTAGCACTTGTCTCTTCCCTGAAACAACGCAGCTGGAGAAGACTACTCGAGGATCCGGCGGAAGGTGACCTTTACCGTGTCCTCCGTTTCTCCGCCAAATCGGCGGGAGGGGAAGTTCTCCCACTCAAGGGGCCTGGTGGATCTATCACCCACGATAAACCCGAGCAGGCTAAGTTACTTTTTGAGGGCACCTCTGTTGCCAACATACCCATTGACCTCTCCGACGTTTGCTTTGATCTGTCCTGTAGGTTTGCAAGCTACCCCCCGGTATCCAGGGACGAGGTGCAAGCGGCAATCAGACGCATCAGCCCAAAAAAGGCTCCTGGCATTGATGGCTTGGCGAATGAACTTCTTAAGTCCCTCTCCAGTCCCCTGTCAGAGGTTTTGGTTAATTTATACAATAGCATTCTAATCAACAGCAAATTCCCTCGATCCTGGAAAGTTGCTGTCACAGCCATCATCAGGAAGCACGGCAAACCCGACTACACTAACCCCACGGCATACCGGCCGATTGCACTGTTGGGCTCCATGAGCAAACTGTTCGAACTCATTTTGGCTAGAAGGCTCACAGCGTGGGCAGAGGGTGCGGGTATATTGGCTGAAGGTCATTTTGGTGGCCGGAAGGGCTCGGGCACCAAGGATGCCCTGTTTGCGCTGGAACATTGGGTTAAGGCGAAGTGGAAGGAGGGCAAGGTTGTTGCCGCCTTGTTCCTGGACGTTAAATCGGCGTACCCATCAGTCCACCCTTCCAGGCTCATCCATTATTTATTTCAGATCAGATGCCCCACTTACCTCGTTCTGATCATTGCGGACTTCCTTAAGGACAGGTCAACGACAATCAGGCTTGACGATTTCGTCTCTGAAGCTTTCCCGATTGAGATAGGCCTCCCCCAAGGGTCCCCCCTCTCGGTCATCCTCTACATCTTATACAATAATCCTTTGCTAAACAAATCCTTTTCCACCTCTCTAGACAGGGTATCAATAGGCTACGTTGACGATGTCGTGCACCTTGTCGCGGCAAAATCGGCTGAGGAAGCGAAGGAGTCACTAGTCGAGGAGGGCCAACGATCACTTGATTGGGGAGCCTCGCACGGGGCAATTTTCGACCAGGCCAAGGCACAGTTCCTCTGGCTCACAAAGAGAAGGATTTCTGATGATGCCCTCTTTTTGGAAACCAGACCCTAAAACCGGCAAGCGAAGTCAAATGGCTGGGAGTGTGGCTTGATAGCAAACTCCTCTTCAATTGCAACTTCAAAAAACTAGAGGAGAAGGCCCATAAGACAATCAACCAACTCAAGATTTTTGGCAATTCTCGATGGGGTTCAAAGGAGGCTGACAGAGTGAAATTGATACGGTGTGTGTTGTTTCCTAGGATTCTCTACGGGGCGGCTCTGTGGGCCACCAGCCCCAACAAGGGCAAGGTCGCTGCACTGGCACTGAAAATTAATCGACTATCGGGCATCTTTTCCCTTGGCGTCTTCAAATCAACCTCCAACAAGTTCTTGCAATCGAGATCTGCAGTCCCTGACTTTGAGAATGAAGTCACAAAAACTTGCTTCTCTTTTTTTTTTAGAAAAATTATTACTGTGAAGTCCAATAACGTCATTCGCTCATTTATTCTCACAAGCAGATCCGACTCTACGAAACGCCTGGCGGACTCAGCTAAGGTGGGCCTGGCGACTGACCTTGTAGACAAGGCAATAGGGATGGATCCTGAGGTGATCCGCCTCCCACTCGATTTCGGGAATCTTCCCCCCAAAGGCCTGGAATTCAATAATTTGGAAATGTCCAAGGAGGAAGCCATTGTCGTGGTTAAGTCCCTCATTTCACTACATCAATCAGACCCGACGAGACTTTTGATCTTTTGCGATGGGTCTTTCCACCCGGAGAAAGGAGGGGCTGGTGCAGCTGTTTGTCCGGCCAGGAATGTGTTTAGCTCATATTCCTTGGGAGGAAACACACTCGTGTCCAACCACGAGAGTGAAGCAGCGGGTGTCTTGGCGGCCTTGGGGTTGGCAAGGACAATCAGCAAGGATTCACCAGTCCAGCAGCTACTGGTCTTCGTGGACAACCAGGGAGTCATGAAAAGGATAGGCGGCCCGGTAACCCCAAAACCAGGCCAACGACTTTTTGAACTAATAGACATTGCTCTGTCAGCTCTTCCAAGCAACCTGATTGTCTCCTTTGTATGGTGCCCCGGCCACAGAGACATCCTAGGCAATGAACTGGCGGACAAATTGGCCAAAGAAGCGTTGGAGTCCCCCTCATCGCAGAAATTACTCATCAAAGGCAATTTCAAGAAAGTGCACCGCCGGGCAACAACCAGCCTCTCCTCCAGGCCTTCACATTGCCCTTAGCTCTCTGATAAATCAACTGGCCTCAGGTCATCACGCACTGAATCATCATCTGTTTAGAATTTGTAGGACACTCGACCCGCTGTGTCCCAATTGTGGGGCTAGGGAAACAGTTTTCCACCTCATGAATTTCTGTCCACAATACAAAATTCAGAGGGTATTACTTCGCAAAAATCTGCGCTTCCTACGGATACGATTTAGGACGGAAAGACTTGACTTAGTCCTCAGCAACAGAAAAGCTGAGGCAGCCCTGGCAAAATTCTTACTCGACTCAAATCGCTTTTCAGCTCAACTCCCTCGATGACTCGCCCTCCGGTTGCATCCATCTCGTCCTCAACACCAATTTTCTGTCTCACATCTCCTTTTCTTTGTTCTTTTCTCCTTTATGTTCTGTTATCATTTTAGGCGCTATCTTTCATAACAGTATTTTCTTTGTTGTTACTAGTTTATGCATTGTGTTTCATTCATTTCACAAAGATGTTACTTAGATTCATAGTGTGCAATGCCATAGGCCAAATTTCACTTTAAAAAAAAAAAAAAAAAAAAAAAAAAAAAACAGATGATTCTTCACTCATACAATTGTTATGATGTAAGATCCAGCCCAGAGGAATAAAAAACCAGATAGAATATGTCAAAGATAAATCATAATTGGGTTAATTATTTTCAAAATCAGCTTGAAATGATAACACTGTGAATAGCTCTACAAGAAAAATACTGGATTACCCATCACAAATCAAATTCCCAACTCACTTTGACAGGCATTGAGACACTCAACACAGCCAATGTACTTTTCTTATACATAATGCATACATTGCTTCACACAGGGAGATATATTTTGCACCTCTTTGCAGAATAGGAATATTTCTCAGCAGGCAGTTTTTACAATTAATGGGGAAAAAGATAAAAGAACTGATATGTATGATAAAAAATAAAACAACAGGTTTTCAATTTATGGTTTTATTTGCATCATATCTATCAGACATCTAGTTGATCAAAAAAAAACCAATCATCAATGACATTTGTTAAATGATTCAAATTCATGTTGATTTAGTTGATAATATCAAAATCTCTCATCTGTATACTCCAACCTTCTTTTGACTCCCATGGCACTGGCCCTCTCTCATTTGTGACTCTTTCCAAGATTCAATTGAGCTGTTGGGACTTGAGCAGGACCAGTTACCCTTAACAAGATTTGCTTTGAAGTGAACAAATGTTTTTTTTTGGTTCTGTGAAGTTGAGGTTCAGATATTATGAGTGTATACAACCATGCGACTCGCGAGTGGGAATTGGAGGCGCAAGAAATCCTAGCTTTCTTAGCGCAACACACGGGGCAACATACAGCTGGATGATGAAGAGAGGTGGACATGGGCTCTGCATAGGGCATCTCCCCTCCAGGACGCGTTCCGCGGGATTACCCACTTGCGACTCCTCCCATCGAGGGTCTCGAACTTGACGAAGTACCTCCTTGCCTGACAGAAGAAGCCTCAGGCAAGGAGGGACTTATATACTTTTGTGGTTCGAGGTAAGCTGGATGCTAACTCGTGCTTTGATCACTTCAGCGCGAGCACTTGTTCCTTGATGATCGGATGTAAGAAAAATCCACGTCCTCCAAGGTGTTGTGGTGTATAACCAGCGTGAGCGAAGCAGTGAGCTACAATCACTTCGCGCTACTTCCAACATACCCTCCATGCAGTCAAGTGAGCCGTGAGCGTGCGGCCGCCCACTCTATCAGCTCCGAGCTCGATATGAAAAACCGGTCATGCCGGTTCCCCATATAATCCTGCTCGTGGAAAGCTCGTGGACGGACGGGACAGAACCTGAAAGCGCTGTGTTGGCGGAAGGGCCATAGGTTTGACTTGTCCACATTAGTTGTTGGGCTATACCCAAATACCTAGAGGGGTTGATCCGAATGGCCTCTGGCTTTATGAATAGCCCGTCCAAGTTCAACCGTCCGTTCCTTCCAGGTGGCCTGTTCCTCGACTGCCATCAACTTACTATCTAATTTTTGTTGTTGCGTACTCATTCAGCGACTCATCGGCTCGCCCAATCGCCATTCAACCTGCCAGAAGATCCCATCTCCGCGCTTATTTCTCACTTGCCGGCTGCTTTCGTCCAGACTCCAATTGATGCTGATCTATCAGCTTTTTACATGGTATGATATGATCTCTACTTCGTTGCACAGGCTTGTCTCCGTTTCTCGTGAGATTGCTTATAAGTTTTGGACTTGAGTTGCTGATTCCTTATCCTGAGTGTATATAAATATGTGAAGCAGTCACTTCCCAATCGCCGTGAAAAGGACGAAAATCTGAACAATGATTCCTGGATCTCGTTCCGAGCACCCGAGCTCCGAGCCCTTGATCCGTGCCAATCCTCGTGGTGGCTCAAGCACCAGCACACTTGCAGACCCCACCAGGTTTATTTCGAGGTCATCATCATCAGCATATTCTAATGTCAGTGACGGGGAGAGATTGGTGATCAACCGTGTAGCTCTGCAATTTCCACAACCTGGCAATCATCAACAGCTACATCAGGATTCTCAAACCAAGCCATCCTTGCAACCGTCCTACGAGTACTCACGATCATCCCAGTCGCTTGGCAGTAGATCCTCAGTGGCAGGTCCTGAGACGGAAGATGACCTAACTCTACCGTTGAACCTCACGAGAACTACCGGCCACGAATTCCAAGAGCATCACTCACGAATGAATACCGGACTGTATAGCCACGGCTCTGAGATGGTCATAAGTGCTTCACACCTTGATCGCCAGATCAATAGTTTCATTCAAGAAACTACTGTTATGTCACCTCATGAGCTGGCGGCACCTCCTAGACACATGTTCGACTCATCAGATCGACATGAAAGGCCTTCTTCGAATGCTTCCTCACCTCATCAAGCAACCAGTGGTACTGATGATGAAGGTGACGAAGATGACGGCGGAGAGGATTTCCGGTCGAATGTGCCTCACTCAAATTTGCGAATGGCTGGATCGAGGCCACCGAGCCGAGCGTTCTCCGTTCGACAAAGATCAAGAGCGGCAAGTGTCTGTTCCAGTTTTGTGGAAGGTGGAGAGGAATCCCAAATACCTGGCTACCTCTTTCTTCACGAGGTTCCTCCGCTACGGATAAAGAAAAGTACTGTCGCGAACAATCCTCCGTCGCATTCTCACCAACAGAGAGGAACCAGTCACAGTCACTCCAGAAGCGCCTCTCATCGCCGCAGAGATCCTCAGCAACATCCTGGTAATCAACTTGGTATGCAATCGCACCCCAGGCATCATGCCAAGTCTGGAATGGGTCTAGTGGAACAAGAGTGAGTTTGGACTGATATTCTTTCTTATTTAACCTGAAAGAAACTGAGTCAAGTCTACCTGAACAGTTCGAAGGCCCCTATAGATATTTTCAAGTCGCCACAGCATGCCTGGTACTTTGTCCGTCGATTAGTCGGATTGGAACTCAGATGGGAAGCAGCTAGAGCATGGAAATTGACTGACTTGAGTTTGAACACCGCCTCTCCTCGCAAAGATCCATTACTCCCTCATTCTCGGGTGCGATCGGATGATGATCAGTTTGTCACTTTGTGTTTTTTTTTTAAATTCGTCTCGCGTTTTCGAGCTTATAGGTTAACGTAATTCATTCTCGTTTGCATCAAATCAGAAGTGCCTACAGCTGGGATTCATCATCTGGAGAAACATCGATAGCGGCAGAAACCCTGCCGATCCTGAGCTATCTCATTCACAATTTCCTCTTGACGTTACCTATCATTCGGGATACCGTTTCAGTCGTGCAAAATGTGCCTCATAGCTCCCACTTCAATCCTCAAGTGCCAACAAATCACACCTCGGTGGCGGTGTATTGGACCGCTGGTGTACTTCCCATCTTAAGAAGATTACACCAAAGTAATCTTAGTGCGGCTATTGATTTGGGGAGCCCTGGTTTCCTTCACATACTGTTTGACTTTCACATAGCTCGCTTGCTCGAACGGTTTGTTGCAACAAGTCTAAAACTATGTACACACAGATTGGACTCTCCGCCCTTGCACCAAAATCGAAATCCAGCGAGCTGTGCAGTAGGGGAACCCGCTCCGGAGGGCACTCGTCGACCATTCAGAAGCCTCGACCAAATGAGGCCATTCGAAGTCACCTCTCCCGATAACGATGCAGACGCGGCGCGTTCTCCTGAAGAGGAAGTGACGACGACCGACCCTAAGCAAGCTGGGAAAATGTTAGCGCCTATTGCGCTTTTGCCAGATCGCGCAACTAATAGTCCGGATGCTCATTATTTTAGGGATATCACCCCTGTAACCGTTTCTCCTGTAAATGATTTCGGTGCGCCTGAACGCGAACGAGCCAAGGCCTACGTACATAACTTTGAAAAAGAGCCTCAAAGGTATTCTGGTATCAGTGTTCAACCCAGTCAAAGAGCTTCAATTGGGATCGTTACGCCATCGAACAGCAATTCTAATGAAACCCATCCGCTGAATCGCACGGATAATTTTTCAGCTGGCTTATCAACCCATGAAACGCAGAGAACTGGTGTCACCCCTATAAATACCCCATCTTCAAAAACATTTTCATCCTCGAGCACGTATGATGGCCATCCAACAGATACGGAACTTTCGACATTCATGCCAAGCGCCTTTGGTAGCATTCAGGAATCGCCGCTTACGCCCTCGTGGAATCCGGGATTTAACCAAGCAGATGGTTTTATCGGACAGGCTAACTCTATCGATTCGTTTAGTCATAGAAAATCCGTGGCATCTTCCTCGAAAACTTCAGAAGAAGTGACGAGCGTTCGTCAAACAATAGAGCGAATGAAGATGGAACGGCAGAATGCTAGCGAGCACACACGTGAGGATGATAATAAATCGAATGCTCCTTCTCGAATGTCTCGTAAATTTAGCTGGATCAGATCGAACGGCACGAAGATAGAACCGGGTACCGATCCAGAAGTCAGCCAGAAAGTCAGTGCGAACTTTGATTTACGTCGAAATTCAGTGGTCTCTGAGGAAGCTCGCGTCCCCCACACTCCTATGCTAAATAAATCCTTTCATGCTAGAACCATCAAAGAAGCAAACAAAGGAACTGACGATCACAAAGAATCTGCAAAAAATAATTCATCTGAAGTGAAAGCGGTAACGTCGGGCGCTAGCCGTGGTTCATCAAACGCGCCGCTGAGTTCCGGGTCTGAGAGTGTAGAAGATTTCGAAAAGCGAGAGGGACCATCTGCAAGAAGTTCTAGTCAACGTGTCGTTGATAAAAATCATTACACGAAGTTGCTCAGAGAACCTGAAATGAAACAAACGGATGCTGATACCGAGTCGAAAAGGGCGAGCAAATGGGGATTTACTTTGAAATCTCTATCACTGCTGAAGAGCAATAGTTCAACGCGAACTCCAGAAGATACCAAAAGAGCACTCAGAAAGTCGTGGTGGATCAAATCTGAAGTCGCGCCCAACACGTTTTTACCTCCGTCACCCAACGCTCTATCCTTGAAGTTTTCCGGAAGTGTCTCACCTCTAGCGACCGATAAACCAGTGGAAAAAAAAGTGGCGGTCCCCGAAAGTTTGGTCGAAGGTTTAACCAGTCCTTACAAAAACATTTATCAACCAGAGATTTTGCAGTTCCAATTGGAACTTCTCGAGATGCCAAAAGACTCGGTTCCCTGGCCCTGGGGTGATCCTGTACCTTTTTGGAAAGGCACGCCGGTCCACAAGCTCTCTTGGGGCGGCTTTGAAGTGGATCTCGTGGGTATACGTCAGGGAACTACCAAAAATGTAAGCCTCAACTATGGCTTCGTCGACTTTCTTACACAAGGAGAGGTTCCTATAACTGACTCATTTGAACAAAGTCTTATGTAATTAGAGTTCGGAGACCGTCTCGGCTGGATGAATACGTCTTGAGGAAAGAATCGCAATTCAAAAATTATTGCCGTCGCCTTTCCAAGGATTTTCCGAATGCACATGTTCGAGCGGTACCTCCGCCTGAGATTAGTTTGGAAGATGATTTGTTTTCGTTGGATGGTTTAATGCAGGAAAATGAACAACATCTGATTTCAACCAAAACGTCGGGTGGTTTCGGCGAAGGGGCAGCCCCTCAGAAATCACATGGAAGAGGTCGCATGGCCCAACCTCCGAGTCTGACCGACCGTGGACCTAGTTTGACCGGCAACCCGTTTTTTGTCGATCCATTCACCGCTTTACCACTTGATCCAGTACCTGTCCCAACCCAGGAGGGAATCAAGCGTAGAGCTACACTAGCTTCAATCTTTGGGGTTGGGAACCACAAGTCCAAGTTTTCGTTGGACACGCGGTCTGATTGGAACGGATCTAACCTGATGGGGAAAACCGCTCCAGATACTACTAAGAATCCAGATTCTAAGAATGAACGCGTGGCCGTCGATCGAGAAATAGTAGGTAGTGCAAGCAAGCCACAGCATCCAGGCCACTCTCGACGTGGATCCTTGCGACAGATCAAAGTCTCATCCGATACCCATCGCCGCGCATTGCGAGGCTGGCTCAGAGATACTTTATCTATCCGCACGGTCGGACATCATCCAGAAACCGCTGCCTTTCTTCTTCTAGGGAGTGTAGTACCGGAGGAGAGAGATTTACTCGACGTCCGGCAAAGAGAGTTGATTGATGAAGAGCGTCGGAAAAGACGAGTACAGGTGGCTCAGGGCGCGGCTGAACGGTCGAAAACAATACACGAATGGTGGTCAGAAGTGAAAAGCGAGTTTATGGATGGTGAAGGTCTGCAAAATCTTTCGACGGCGCTAAAACAAGGCTCTTCTGTGGAAGAACTGCCTCTAAGGTTTCAGAAAGCACTGGAGTGGATCCGAATGAACGTAGCTGAGGGCTTGCACGAGCTTTTGGTCATTGGGAATCAATCAGATATACTCTTCGGCAAACTCTTGGGCCTCAACGCTGCCTTACCCTGGTCATTAATAAAGAGCGTGTTGAAAATCAAGAAGCCGGCCTTGATGTGCAAAGCTCTTCTCGACGTATTCCTGGCCAAAAAGTCGAATCTGGGGAAATCCAAACATAGTGTCATCCAGCGCTTGATCGAAATCGCCATCAACGAGACCGAAGGGAGCTTTATGGAAGTCGAAAGACGCATCCAGGCCTGTCGAGCGCGAATTCAAAGTCTCACTATGTGCGAAAAAGTAATCAAGTTCGTGCATGCTTCAAAGGATCTCAAAGACCTTTTCAGGCAATATTCAGGTAGGATACTTTTTTCTTTTCTTTTTCATTTCTACTTGCCTATGAAGTCTGTAGAAACGCTTACGCGGTGATCGAAATTTTTATAGAGTCCGCTGATATCGAACTGGTCGTGGCAATTGTCCGGAGTGCTGAGGAGCCTCGGCTGGATAAATACGACTTGGAGAGGGTGATGAGTGCATCGAAAGCTTACAAATCGCTCTTAGCCAAGAATCGAAATCGGATAACCAGCTCGATGACCGAAAACATTCATGTCCGCTTGATATTAGACCTCAAGCTGTATCTCAGATTGATCAGTCAAGAATGGGACTCGAAACAAATCCGGAAGATGTTGTCGGAGGATAGCGTCGCTGAGGCTATGGAAGTCTTAGTAGCGCCATTAATGGAACTTCTCAAACGAACTTATACTATTGGGAACGCTGTCCAGGCTTTGGATGATGCGCAAAACTTCATCGAACAATTGATTACAGTAGTCAACGCGCTGAGGAGCAGAATCCAAGGTCTGTCGAATCTGATGAATAATTATATTCTCACCTTGGGAATAAGCACGGTGCTGAATTTTTTGAATTCCCAAAACAAAATGGTAGATCCACAAAAGTCCATAAGGGTACTGGCCCGCCTGCTTACCAGACACCAGAACAACTTCTACGGCTGGCTGCACCAGATTCACACACATGACTCGATTGTCGAAGAATTCTTCGAGTGGTTGTCGAGGGCGATAAATTTCCTAAAGGAAGGCTTACTTGAGCCGATCTTGGTTTCTGAGATCATACCCTCTGGGGAGCTAGACCAATTGAGTGAAGAATTAGATGAAATCGTCGAATGGGAGGAAGCGAAGAGGAAACGGCAGTACGAGCAGCTATGCCGGCGTTACTCGGCCGATGTGGACGGTGACGACCCGGTGATCGTCGAGGGAGATGGGTTTGGAAGGTCGAAAGTTGAGCCGTTGGTCGATTTGAAACCCTTGCCACCCCAGCTAGATCACCTCGCCAATTGCTTAGACCTGTTTCGTGCCGCGATCAGGAAATCGTAAGTCCTATAATGATTGCTTGGAGAAGTTGAGCAATTGGTAGCCACGCTAACCTTTACTCCTTATTCACCACCTGGAGCAGACTGCTCCGTTGAAAAATCTAAGACTGGACGCTTCACCGGTCAAAGCCACTTTCATCTCATTCTCAGCCTTTGTGCCTTAACTATCCGTCTTACCTATGTACCTATTACCCATAGATCACAATAGAACCTAGTCGTGCTTGTAGTTAGAAATCTATCCCTACTTCATGTATTACTTATTTATGTACCTGTCGATCTCATTGCAATGGCTATGATTAACGCTCTGGAAAACTTGATGACATGAAGATGCTCTTGCGTTAATGGTTCAAGTTTGAGGACCTCGTAGTAGGCTACCAATCAAATAATCTGGACCTTGAGATAGATGTTTCAAGTTGCACATAACTTGCGCGCTCAAGGCTCAAGCAGAGCAGTTTCATTATATTCATGTAACTTTTTCTCTTCTCTTCGAATATGGCCTTTTACAAGCCTTTGATTTTATGAGTGAACCCATCTTTCTCATCTTACTGTTTCAGTTTGAATCGACCTTGGATCTGGACATGCCGCATGTGTTTATGAAGATCACAGGACGAGCAACATGTGCTGCTGATGCAACTTTGACACCGCAGTTGGTGAAGTGAGCTTCCTTCAACCTCTGCGGTGTGCTGGGTCGAAGATGTTCGAGAACAGGCTTGGAAGGGGCAGCACCGTCGATCGGTTGATGGCTCGGGTCACAGCACCCCACGGTGGTCCAACGGCAATAGCCAAGTATGAAGTACGTGCAGTACTGTTCCCCTGCACAGACCCAACCAGCTGGAAAACGAGACTACTGACTGAAACGCAGTTATATGTGTGGATGTTGCAGTCGAACACGACAAGACTGGACAGAATCCCAAGCTTAATTATCAGCATATCCACCAAACGACAACAACACCGATACCAAACTCGTAAGATGCGATTTCCTGTGCTCTATCTGTTCAACTGTATACATATCTCTTCTACTGATGCTCAAAAATGCCGATGACATTGCCCCTCTTTGATATCCAGCTCATGGCCAACGATCGTCCGCGTGAGCCAGACGGGAGCTCGAGAAATCTCAAAAGGACTCGATCGGAGGTGATTGAAATCAGTAGCGATGAGGATGGCGACCCAAAACAAGCAGCCGATCGCCATCGAACCAAGATCGGATCCCGAGATCTCTCCAGTATCCCGCCCGCCGCCTCAAGCGCCTCCAAACCTCAATCAGTCCTCCAAAACAAGCCCGAACGTTACAAGCTAGAGTATGAAAGACTGGCCCGACAACGCGCTCGAGAACTCGCGGCAAACCCTTCTGCATCCTCCTCCTCCTCGCTCAGCCCAGCAGTTACCCCTACCGACCAAGGCCCTAAAGACTCGGATCCATCCAAATCCGAGCCCTTCCCTAATTATTGGAATTCTGCTATCAAGGTGACCTTCAACGATTGGTACCCTGATTGTCCTAACGCGCTTCGAATAGAAGATATCATTGGACCGGTAAAGTGGCCTTTCCTATGTATCAATCCTACGTCAGATGTAATCCTGTGGTGCCTGCCCCTGACGCCGCATTTAATTTTCTTCTTTTCGACCATATGTAGAAAGATCGGATCAAAATGGCCTTGGTCAGCTCTTACGTTCTTGAACTCCCTTGGATCCATAAACTGTTCAATCCAAGGACTCGGATCATGGTTATCAGGCACCACACAGACGTCAGCCATTCTCTCCTCTCCACCTTATTTTCCACCATCCAGGCTGACATGGATTATTTCCTCCCTCTTATTCACAACATACATACATTACATTACAGTGTGGGTCGTTTAAAGTTAATGAACGTGCGAACATGTTCTTGTGCCATCCCCCAATGCTCAAAACTGCCAACGGTAACGCCAAACCCGGCTGTATGCATATCAAGTTGAGAAAGCATATCTTCTAATCTCATCTTTTACTGTCGATCAAATTTATCTAACGGTGTTCCTATTCTTATGATTCTCAGATTCTTTATTGTCAGTACCAGAAATCTCAAAATCTAGAATCATATATATCATGCCATCCAACACAAGTAAAACTGATCAAACCATAATTCAACGCGATCCAGATATTCTACGATAATTTTTGTCGAGTTGCGATTCCGACGGCAAACGCAGTCTCGTTCGATTATGAATTTGTTGAGAATGTAAGTTGAGCAATCGGCTGGCTTCTTGATCAGGAAGGAACTGATCATCTTGAGTAATTGCTTTCCATGTTCCCAGGCAATTTGGATCCAAGATTTCCGACGGTTCAGTGGAAATACGATCGGATATAACAGTAGACGATCTGATGACGTGCCCCCGTTTCGAAAAACTCTTGACGACTTGCTCGACCGGATGGGAGTCCCTCTCCCATTTCGTAAACCACTGGAGGATCATGATTTCCGCTCAGCGGCTGCAAAGTAAATCACACAAAAATCCCCGGTTTGGTTAATATACCTGCCTCATGCTTATCTCCCCCCGTTTTTTTCGTTACTCACGCGGATTTAAATTTTAGTTTGGTAGTTTCTGTTCAAGGCACCCATCCCGCGAATTCACCGATGGGGCAAGCTCACTTGGCAGAGCAGTTGAAAACTCTTGGACTCCAGTCAGGACCGGGCACTGGCCGGACAGCTACACTGGAATGTCAGGTATGCCTTGCATGCTAGTTGTATTCATTCAGTCTACTGAATTTCACTTTACTCGCAGGGTTCATCAATCGGCAGTTACGATTTGAAGTGGCTCAATAACTTTTACCGTTGCGCATCTGGTTCCCCGCCAACAGCTAGTACTGAAGATCCAGACTTGCAGACTAAGACGCCCCCGCTCTCAGTGCTATACCCGAGCCTTCATACCGTCCGAAATAGTCACAGCGGGAAGGCTGGAGCTGGGACGTTATTTTGTAACAAAGCCACTTGGGAAAAGGCGAATTTTCCAACCCATATCTTTGCGGATACCATGTCCAAACGTACCGGAGTTTTAATGCATGTTAAGGTGAGCCCCCTCTCAGATGAATGTCCACTCTTTGAGCCACGAATGATTATTTCTCACCAAAGAGAAAGAACTTGGATCGTAGATGATCTTGGGTCTATTCAACTCTGACTCATCGGCGGAGTCGACTAGCTCAACACTGGCTACAGCTAGTGTTGATAAGTCTGGTGCAAGAGATGGGAGGATTAATAAGGATCACGCTGGCTTCTTGTACATTGGCTCTCATAACTTGTAAGTTGAAGTGTTTACGATCCTTTAAGTAAGATCTCGTGTTATCTGATTGATGTTTGATGTGCGGATCATAAACGTAGTACTCCAGCCGCTTGGGGCAAGTTCAACTCGAAATCGGGCTCCGATGATTCTACTTCACTGGAGATCAGCAATGTAAGCGGTGAATCAGCGGATGTTCTATTGATCAATATCTAGATTGACGGTTTCTTTTTCTTTTCTTTTTCGTAGTGGGAGTTGGGGGTTGTGTTACCGGTCAAGTCACATGCCCAGGCTGAGGAATATGTGACTTGGCAGAGGCCAACGAAACCCTATGGACATCGTGGGAAGGATACTTCGATCCCATGGTGAGAGAAATTGAGCACTGAAAAAAAAAAAACTGTGATGATGATCTTGATTGCTTACTCCAATTCTGCTCATCTACGTATGTAGGATGCAATTCTCACATGGGCGTTGAGCTTGTTGTAAACTGAAGTATTTGATAGCTATGTAGAGCTGGGATTGATTGTTTGAATTATGTGTACGATCGTTATTATTTATTTATTTAGCTAGTTCTTCTTCATGATGATAGAAATCCAAGACGCGTTTTTTTTTCTTGTTCTTGTTCTAATTCTCTGATCGGATGTTGTCGAAGTAAATATAAATGGAATTGAGAGCCTGCTCTTTGGCTTGTATTGCTTGATGAGATCTTGATGGTGTTGTGTTTGATGTGATGTCATAGTGTGCTGTTTCGGGTAATGTGTTCCTGTGTTTCCCCCGGGGGGATGGTGCATACCTTCATCTGTTCTTTTTTTTTTTTTGAGTTCACAGCCAAGCCTATTCACAACCAACTCGACCATCAACTACATACGACGACGATGAGCTACCAACCCATCCAAGCCACACACAACCACCAGCACTTGGTCCCACCTCGGAGTCGGAAGTGCAACCTGCTCCTGCTCACCCTCATCCCAATCATCTTCTGTCTCTCCTCACTCAGCTTCATCGCCTTCAAGCAATCCCACTCATCTCAACCAACACTAATATCATCTCCCTCACTCTACTCACTCAAACTCTTCGACCATCACCAGCTCAAATCTCAGGCCAAACAACTCTCATCTGACCTCCTCAGCTGGCTCGACTCCGTCCACAACCCACTCCGACTTCCCTATTCTTCAACCTCTGACTACGACCCTGACCAGGATAACCCGCTCCTCAATCCACCCAACGACCAGTCTCCTCATCCAATCCTACCCCTCCTCCTCAACTCACGCCAATCCTGGAAATCAATCCTACACTCTCAGCCACTCTCTCTCCAACAGGCCCGGCTGGACTATGAACAGAACTTCCATCCACTCCAACCACCTCCCGGCTTCGATCAATGGTTCCAATTCGCACGGCTACATAACTTCACCCTCATCAACCGATTCGACAGCCTCATGTCTGATCTCGAACCATTTAGAAAGCTAGCCCCCACCGAACTGAGCCGTCGCACTCAAGAACTCGTCAAGATCCCCGGCATCACCCTCGTGAAAATTAACCCAGACTCGAGCGTCCAAACTAGCTCGCCCAGTGGTCGATTTGCTGCCGGCCATGCACTACAACAGATCATCGATCGCATCCACTCTCAATCCGACTTCAAACTCCCTCCACTCGAACTAGCCATCAATGAAAACTCAGAAGCAAGAGTCTTACCTCGGCAGACCCGTCCACTAGCAGGCGAAGAATTCAGCTATCTCTCTGATGAGGATCGAATACTCTACGGTTAGTCACTGGTTTTTTTTTTTATTACTCCTCAAGCCACATACACCACCCTGATAAGACTATTTGCTCCTTTTTAGACCAGCAAGATCCGGAAAAGAAGCCTTCGCTGGCTGGATTCAAACCTCAATGGGGGCAAGATGGGAACGTATGGGATGCCTATCGGCGTGCCTGTCCCTCTGACTCTGCCGCACGACGTCTGGTAGAGACCATCCGATCAGCTGAATCTCTTACGGGTGCCGTGGCTGCTGGTGGTGGACTATCGTCATTGAGCTCAACTCAAACCCACCTTTCCATGAACCGCCCAACTCGGCTTCGAGCCCTCCATCCAATAGGAACTGCCCCTCTACCCTCGCGGAGAGAGCTAACCTTCCTGAGTGAACTCGAATCAGCCGCCTCATTCTGCGAACGGCCATCGACTCATCGACTCCACTCTGCCTTCTTTGCCGACCAACGCTCAATAGAACATCTCTATCCACTCTTCTCACCCTCGAAACCTCAAGGCTTCGCTGATATCCTCATACCATCTTATTATCATTATTCCCCAAGGGCCGAATTCGTTTACGAGTCTGATTATAAATCCGGTCGGAACCCGACTCCAGCCGATATTCCATGGAATCAAAAGGCTAACAAGATGTATTGGCATGGGAAACTTACCAGGGGTGCTGACACACCACCCGGCCACACGAGTAGCTTCCAGAAACAGCGGCTGGTCAAGTTGGTCTCAAACGATACCGAATCTGCTGCCTCCCTAACCTCGACGGCCCATAAGCAGGGTGAGACCGATCCATCGTGGCGCTCAGAAACAAGTCGAGTCCTGGTTTCCCTCAACGTCACCTCCGAAAACTTACTCTCCGTCTCTGCACCGGCAACGGTCGTCGACCCACTTATGCTGGATATCGCCATGGCATGTGATCCCAAAGCTGGGGAATGCCACGAACTCCTCAAGCAGGGATATCACATCCAACCACCCGCACCATTGAGCGAATGCTGGAAGGCCAAAATGACCTTAGATCTCGATGATGCTGGCTTCTCTCCTCGGTTCAGTGCCCTGATGGAAAGTCACAGCGCGGTGGTCAAAATGAGTGTCCATCAGGAGTTCTGGCGAGATTGGGTACAACCCTGGTACGTATCACAACTCTTAATCGCTAAGCGAGAAACTGATTTAGATTGTTGATGTGTGTTAAATCTATCCCTCCTTCAGGTATCATTTCATTCCGCTCTCGTCGTCTTATGCGGAATTGCATAACTTGGTCACTTTTTTCATGGGCATTCCAGAGATACTAAAAGAGCAAGTGCTTCCGATCAAAAAAGAGTCTAAACGCAAGAAGCTTGGCAAGCGCTCAGTGATTCCTGATGGGAACCAGCAGCAGCAGCAGCAGTCAGGAGGGGAAAGCGAAGCCAAGTTGAAAGAAGAAGAAGAAGAAAAAGTCACAACAGGTGGTCCAATAGCAACAGTCTCGGATCAGCAGAACAATCAGACCGCCCAGCAGGACGGCCCGAGTCCCGGCAAACAAGAGCAGGAAAAGGAAGCTTATATCGGGCTGGAGGGATTCGATGCTGATGATGAGCTGAGGAAGATTGCCGAGAACGGGCGGGATTGGAAGTTGAGACACTTGCGACAAGAGGACATGGAGGTAAGAATCTCGAGGTTTTCTTCTCGCATCACTTTATAGACTGTCCTTATTATTGGCTGACTTATTCTTTGTTCTTTCTTTTTTTTCTTTGTGCAGGTTTATCTCTTTAGATTGTTGATCGAATGGGCTAGAATCTTGGATCCACAATCTTCATCACCATCACCATCATCATCACCATCATCATCATCATCACCATCATCAGACCCTACAATCAAAACATCAACAACACCCCCCTCTGCATGAACAATACACTTTTTTTCTTATTTCATTTATCTGTCTATCTACTTATTTTTGGTTTTCTACTAATTTTGCTGTGCTTGTATCTCTGTTGTAATCTTTCATGTATTTCCTACCACTGCCAATTGTAGACAACCAAATGGACAACTTCTTTTCTCTAACTAAACTCTTTTTTTTCTTTGACTTTACTTTTTTTTTTTGGTACTCCTTGTACATAATCCAATTGACATAATAAAGCTCGTTTTCCTCATTGTTATTATTATTATTATTATTATTTTGGTGGTGGTGGTGATGGTGATTTGATTTCTTCTCAACAAAAAAAGATGGCACTTTCTGCGGTGACCAACTAGAAAGAGTATGTAGTTTAGGTGTTTATACAATGTAAAATATGTGTCTGAGTGTATTTTTTTTTTTGGGGGGGGGGCCAAGCCATTCAGTTATTTTTTTGGGAAAGTTGTATCTATTCTCTTCTGGGGGAACCAAAGGATTTTTTGATTCCAAATTCTTCATCATCTTTCACATTTTTTTTGTTGTACCAGGGAACCCTTTTTATTTTTTTTTGTGGGGGGGGGGGGGGGAGGTGAGTTAAACAGCTGCCTCAAAATTAGTCAACAACTCCCAAACATTATGGGATGTCAATGACAAGAGGACCACTTCTGGAATCCAATCTTGGTCCTGGTAGTTGTTGGACTAGAATTCTGACTCCAGAAATGGGAGTTGGTGTCTTAATTTCAATATATACTAGTATATGCCCCCAAATTTGGGGGGAGGCTGCTTGTTTTTGGCCCGGATGTTGGGGGTTTGTTTTGCTTGATGACCTCTGGGGTCTTCTTGAGTTGGACACCTGTCTGCCTCAGTCTAACACCGGCATTGACAAAGCCAACAAATGTGAATTGGAGGTCGACGCCGGCGTTGGATTGCATGACAGTTTGTTTGGCCCTCTGAGCAACGGTGCAACAGAGACAATACAAGACGGTATCAGGTGTTTGTTTGTATTGTCTCAGAATTTGAATACCCAAAAATACCGGGTTTGTGTTGTCTCACTTTCCTGAGACAATGCACACATATTGTCTTTGAAAAGTGAGACAAGTATTCTGTATTGTCTCAGATGACTGATCCCACCAAAAACGTATTTGATACATAAGATATTTGGCCGTATTGAAGAAAAAACAAAATAAACAAAGACAATTTTTTTTTTCATTTGTAAATCCACATCCGATACAACAGATTTTTTCACCAACCAAGGAGATACTGATACCGGTATCAGGCTCAAAATAAATATGATATGATCCAATACAAATACATGTCTCGTATCTGTTGCACCGTTGCTCTGAGGGCAAGTCACTCCAAGTCCTGGACTCAAATCATCCTCACTCCGATTCCGCTATACAGCTTGATCCAAATATTGCTTGGAAGTTGGAACTCCCCTCATTCACTGGTCTGGACTCAACTTGCAAGGGCCGTTATTGATCAGACAAAACATGAGGAAGCTCAATCCCATTGCTCTGGACTCAACTTGCAAGGGCTGTTATTGATTGTAAAAAACCTCTCCTCAGCCTGAAGAAGCTGAATCCCGTTGCTGGCAGTGGTACTGATCAATCACAATATTGTAGGAGCCAGAACACCGGCCCTTAAGTTGAACTTGAATCTTCCTTCACCGCTACATCCTTATTTGAGTGAGGTACTGATCAATCAAAAACTTGTTGGACCTCACCGCTTGGCGCTACCCCCCCCCCCACCAATTGATCAAAAACTGGTTGGACCTCACCACTTGGCCCTCCCCCCCCCCCCCCCAAATGCAGA